GTGACAGTGACATCGTTATTCCTACTTTGTGCATCATCATATGTAGACGGCGATATCGTTAGAAAATTAGCATGAGAGAAGAACATTGATTGCTCAATATAATATTATTGTCATAATTATTATGAATAATACCGCCGAGAAGTAAATAAATGTGTAAAATTTACGAAATTTCCACATTAATAATAATCGCTAACCTTCGCTAAATTGATTTCATCTAACTGCTTAATGTATTTTTGTTCAATTTCATCCCCAGACTTCTGCTCCATAATAATCTCATTTAATCTCTCTACCATTTCGAAATTTTCATCTCGCAGCTGTTCGATTAATAACACTTGTTTATTATTTTCTTCTTTCATTTCATTACTTTCTCCTTTCATTTTATTATTTTCACTGGTTAATGAGGCCAATTTAACCGCATCCTCTTCCAATACAATTTGCAAGTCTTGATATTTATGTTTAATACCGCTGACTTCGTTGAATGCATTCATTAACTGTTGGCTAACTTCATCAAGAACGCTTTGTAATCGATTGTTTTCTTTTTCCAATGATCGTAACATTTCTTCATTTTTGTCAACTAGATTTCTAAGTTGTTGATTTTCCTCTTCAGTTTTATTAAAATTCGCTAATTCTTGACATAGTTTGTCATTTTCTTCCTCTAACAAATTAATAGCCTTCTCATTTTCTTTTATAGTTTGCGTCAATGTATTACTTTCATGCGTAGCCTGAGTTAAAGTATCTACCTGTTGAGTTAATTCGATGTTCTTATCTTGTAATAATTTAATATCTATTTGATGTTGCTCAATATTTTTCTTAAGATTGACATTTTCTTCCTGATTTATCGCCTTTTCCTCTAGCAATAGTTCAAGTTTTTGCTGATTGTTTTCTAAAAGGCGCCTTAAGCTGGCAGTTTCATCTTCATCAGTAGCTTTCTCTTCCTTCATTGATTCAATTTGTTTTTGATGTTCTTCAATAATTTTCTGCAAGTTAGCATTGTCTTCAATACTGTTAGCTTTTTCTGCTAGTAAAGCATGTAACTGCTCTTGATGTTGTTCAATTGTACGTTTTAGGGATAGATTTTCCTCTTCAGTATCATTATAATTTTTCATCAATTTTTGATTTTCTTCAATAACCGCCTTTAAGTCAGTAATCTCAGTTATATTACTAGCATTCTCTTCTTGTAATAATTTAATTTGCTTCTCGTTTTGAGTAATGATATCCCCTAAACCAGCGATTTCCTGTTGTAATACATCCAAGCTCTTACCATTTTCTGAGATGCTGTTCTTGAGATTTGTATTTTCCGCCTTAACTCTACCATCTTCTTCCTGCAATGAGTTTATCTCATTTTGGTACTCAATAATATTATTTGATAAATTCCTATTTTCTGCTACTAATGCCTCGATCTGCTTTTCATTTTCTATAATTGCATTCTTTAACTTTGCAACTTCTTCATTAACATTAGCGAAAGTTACCAATTGTAACTTCAGCGTCTCATTTTCCTCCTGCAAGGTAGCTACTTGTTTCATATTTTCTTCCATGTTATCCTTTATTAAGGTTGAATCTTTCTCACTATCAGCATGATTTTCAAGTCGCATTTTTAAATTTTTGTTTTCTTCTTCTAAAACGCCCATTTCTTTCTTGTTCGAGTCAATCGCATTCTGTAGATTTATAATCTCATCCTTAGCATTAGCATATTCGTCGACTAATCGCTTCAAATTATCTTGTAGTTTATCTTCCGCTTCATGCAAAGCAACATCGACATAGCTAGTTTGAACAGAACCTTCTAAATTTGTTATACTATCATACACAATTTCTCCTTCTTCTTTTTCATATTTTTCAGACTCTGTAATCAACTCTTCTTGCTTATTCTTCATGATATCAAGTTCATTTCGTAGTTCTTTGCATTGTTTCTCCATTTCTATTAACTTTTCTTCCGTAAATCTGTTCTTTTCCATTAAATCATGCTCTGAATCTGATTTACTCTGTTCAGTTTGTTTTTCGATTAATTGAATTGACTCTTTTAATGTCGTAATTTCATTTGCTAAGGAAACCTTTTCCGATTGCAATGCGGTTATTTCATTTCGTAAGTTGTTGTTCAATTCTTCTTGGCTAACTATCTCCTGATAGAGTAACTCGCACTGTTCTTGTAATTCGGTATTGTTATCATCTGTTTGTTTTAGCTCAACTTCTAACACCTTCTTACGTTCTGTCACAAAAGCATTTTGCTCTGTCAGCTTTCGAATATCATCCTGCAATGTCGCAATCACAGTTGATGTAGATTCTTCATGGTAGTTGTTCTCTTCTTCCATAACATCCAATTGATGATGGAGCATCTTGTTACTTTCTTTAAGCTTAAATAATTGTTGCTTTAATGCTGTATTATCCATCTTTAGATTATTTTTTTCAACATCAAATTGATTGAGTAAATGACTCTTTTCTTCCTCTAGAGTCGTTGTTTGGAATTCCAAGTTTGAGATCTTATCTTGAGCCGCACTCACTTCTTGCTTTAACAATTCCATAGCAGCACTTAACTTTTGATAAGAATTATCGTTATCTTGCAAATTAATATCCTTATCGTGAACTTCCATAGCTTTTAACTTTTCTTCCGTTTGAATATTTTCTTCTTTTAATTGTAACAAGTCTTGTTTTAATGACTCAATATCATGAATTAATTGTTCTTTTTCCATTAGAGTAACTTTATTATGATTGTGCAGTTTATCAAGATTTTGTGTTAATGATTCAATAGTGGCCTTTAACTGATCTACCTCATCAGTTCCCTTATTATTCTTGTCGTCATCATAACTCTTCAGCAAATCATCATATTTGCTTTGAATTTCTTGACAAGTATTCTTCTCATCATCTAGTTTTTGCTTTATTTCACTTAATTCTTTAGTTAAGGCATCTACTGCTTCATTTGCCTGATGCAATTGTTCTTTGAAATGTTCTTGTAATGCCTCTTTTTCAATATTACTTAATTTCTCTTCTAATTGCATCTTGTCCGTCATTATTTCTGTTAACTGTTTCTCATAAATAGCAATATTGACCAAGTATTCACATTCTTTCTGATCTAATGTATCAGAAAGATCTCGAATCTCTCTTTCCAGATGTTCTTTGTCACTTGAAATTTCTGTCAATTTTGATTCAAATTGAGACTTATCTTCGGTATATTGCTTGTGTAATGTCGAATATTCTTCTTTTAAGCTATCTTTCTCCGTCATCAAGGTAGTTATATAATCAGAATGTTCACGTTCCAAAGCATACTTGGCATCTTCTGATTGTTGCAGTTGTTTTTGTAATTTACTCAAGCATTGTTCTAAGTCATCTCTAGCTGACTGATGCTGTTGAAATTCTTGATGACTTTCTTGCGTTTTGTTCAACTTTTCTTCTTGATCACGTAAAAGAACCGTAGCATCACGTTTAAACTCACGTAAATTAGAAATAATGCACTCTTTCGCATTCAGTTCTAATTTCAATATTTCCGCTAATTGAGAATATTCGTAGAGTTGATCGCTTAATGATTGCATTGCAGCCTCGACACCAATCAGCGTATAATATTGATTTTCATCAGCGAAATCGTCTATATCATCCAATTCTGATTCTTTTAGCCGCAGTAACTCAGCCTTAAAATTATCAATAACTTGTTGAATTTCAAGTCCTCTCGTCTCTAATGAATCCAATTTCAACTGACATTGAATATTTCGATCTTCAGCTCGACAATTTAATTGATCACTTTCATTTCTAATGTGCAATAGGTCTTGATAAATACTTTGTTCTGGGGAACCATTTTTATTTTGTATCTGTTCAATGACACGACAAAGTTCTTCGTTTTCCATCAGTAAATCATTTGCCTACAAAATTAATAAACATCCACAAATTAATAATCTATTTATCCTTTTACAGGTTTCTAATATGGCATAAGTGCCCATCATCATACCTCTTCATTGCGATTAAGCAAATCATTTTTAAGTTGCATCTGTTCAATAATCTGATGAAGCTGTTCATTTTCTCGTTGCAAACTATTGATCTGTAAAAAATTTATGATTATCTGTCGATTAACACTACTTTTATACAACCGTCTAAGCTTCATAATATAAGCATCAATTAACGTACATCATTGTTTTCTATTTTCGAGCGACGGCGTGTATTTACCTATTGATATAAATATCATATTGCTATGGATTAATTCATTTGCTTATGCGAATTTATTTCATCATCGTAGCGTAATATATTAAAAAAATTTTCTCTAATCCTCTTACATAAATATTGCCATTTGTCTGGCTAAGATCTCCTTCGCTCATCTCGAGTTCAATTAATTCGCTCCCAGCTCGTAATTCTGAGCTTGTCTCTGTTAGCTCAGTAGAAAAACGTGCTCTCTTTGTTGCTTTGTTACAAGATTCTACAGCTTCCTCATCTGACATTGAATTTCCATCATCTTGATATACTTGATCACTGCTTAATTCAAGAATATTGCTTAGCAATGGCACTTTAAGGTGTCCAGGACACCAAGTTTCTCGACGTGAAGATCTCTAAAAGTTACAATCAGGAGGTCTTAGTTAGTTATGGTTTAATGGCGGTAATGCCGAAATGAGAAATAAATATAAGCGCATTGCCAATTAAATTAAAATTTCATTAACATATCAATCTCTTGCTTATCTTCTTAGTTTATGTTATATTTAAAACAGGTTACCTTAATCTTCCTTTGATTGGGCGAAGAGGAAGACGAAGAAGAGTAAATCAGTTTTGATAAATTTTGCATCTTTTCCTTCATCAATGCATTCTCCATTTTTAATTCTTCTATATCATCAAAAGTATCTGTTTTCTATAAACATCAATGATATAAAGTAGTGGCGATTACTATCTATGCTAATATAGCTAGAAATTATGATTATCAAACGCAATATTGGGGCAGTAACGGTATATTCCATGCTGCAGAGGTTGCAACTTACTCTTGCTAATTGACGTTGAAGTCGTTTAATCTCTTTACGATATCTTCGCATAAGTGTTTCATCATCGACAACTTCATTTACTTCTGGTTTATTCTTGATTTTCTTAGCTCGACTAGCAAATTTCAAGGTACTCGACGTTTCATCTAATGATACTGGCGTTACCGTACATATTATTGCAGTTAAAGCATTGCCGCCAAGAGATGATTGAAGTATTCTCGTCAATTTAGAATCTCTGAATGGGATAAAATTTCTAATACAAAATAGAAAAAAATGGATAGAGAAATATTTTAAAAAGGAAGAATTTTTATAATTAAATTTAGTTAGATTTCTAAGTAGGCATGTCATAATTACCCTTCGCCTTCACTAAGTTTTGCGATAACACTTCCCAATGTTAATAAGCTCTTATTAATAAAGCCACCTTCTTTTAATCTTATTCCTATCGCATAAAAATTAAATTTTTTAGGCAATCAATAAAGTAGAAAGTAACTTTTTTTCATGAGGCATTAAACAAGTACAATCGTCAAAAAAATTATCTACGCTACAATTACATATATTTTTTATTTATAATTAAGTTACCCTCTGAACCAGTTTGAGATACGCGCTCTGATCCAGCTAAGTCTACCAGATTCTGAAAAATAGATAATAATAGTTAGTATGATTCACTTAAGTATCATCAATATATTCTGTTATATTTTGTTTTAGAATCAAGTTATCAATAGCTATACTTGTATGTATGACTTTAATAAAATCAAAATAAATTACTAATACATGTATATGCGTATGTAGTACAGTACAAATAATCACATAAGTAAAACGGATCAAATTTTTCTGATATTATTATTCCATTCTTAGCTATAAAATTGGGAAAAGCCATAACTTCCTAATGACAATAACTAACCAGTGCTGAAACTTTAACAGCAGTGTCTTGATCAGCTTCATTCTGATCTTGGTTTTGTTCGCGACTTTCGATAATCTACAGAATATATGTCCCAATAATAATATGAATAATTCAGCTATACCTATGAGAAAAAGTTACTATCATAACGCTAACCATTCTAAATATAGTATGTGATCGACTACTTCTTTCATTCATATTTGTTCCACCGGTATGACGATGAGCTATAATGAAATGCATCGAAATAAAAAAATTAGTCAAGGTTCATTTATGGGCATTAAAAATTATCCATATAATGATTACCAATAGCTTTTATATATGTTATATTATTATCTACTTCATAGAATTACAACTAACTTTCTCCTTGAGTCATAATAGTTAGAATTTGACTCGGTGAATTGACGATATTCTCCGTTAAGCTTCCAACATAGACCTCTTTCTGAATTATAAAATAGTTAAAGTATGATTTAAAAGAGCTACTTACGAAATCCAATAGTAATTAAGATGAAAACAAAGAATAACATGTTTTTGTAGACTGGCGTAAAAAATTGTATAATAGTTCCAGGGCAAACCTTTTGATTCTCATGAATTTTCAGGTTAGTATTGGACGGATTTAGTAAATCAGTAATAACCTAAATTCGATTTATTTTTTTATTCCATACATTAAGTCGTTGATAATAATTGCTATGGTTAGCTACTGAAGTCACATTGACATATCATACCTCGTTATAAATTTCCATGTAGGAAACTCTTAGTAGAAATTCCCGATTTGGTTTCTAAAATAATAGAAGATAAGCATTATGTACATTTATACTGAAGATATACGAAAACGATTTTCAGCAATTGAATCACTATCCAAATTAGAGTCGGAAGTATTACAATATTTACATCTGAACACAAACTACCTGATTGATGTAACGAAATATTTCGTTAACAGCTAATGGAATAACACCGGGATCATTATGGTTGCCCATCATCGTATGGGTTTTACCAGATGACGTCTGGCCATAAGCGAAGATGGTACCTTGATGTAGAAATAGATGTACGATATTATAGATTAATCGCTAGGGTCAACTCTATTGAGAATGGGTATAGCGAATACATGTTTTACAGAAATCGAATAATTAGAACTTTTTGTCTTCGTACGCTAGTAAGTGTCCAATAGTAGATAATTTAATTGCATTTTCACTATGTTAGACATACCATTGAATCCTTCCATGGCTGCTGTAACAATTGGACTAGCGACTTTTTGATAAACATCGCTGTTGTCATTTTCGTTAGCAAAGACATGATCTACGGTAAGAAAAGGATGAATCAATATGGGTGGCAGATGTAATTGGATCAATTTCCATGTAGGTATTATTTACTTTAAATGGGTAGCATGAATTATTGCCATCGATTGTATAGTATACAGTACTAATACTCTATTGGATTTACTTAGTTATAGATGTCACTTTCTAGTTATTAACTTTAAATAGATGGCATTGGCAATGGGCGAAGCCTACGCTTAACTATTATTATCAAACAAACTACTGCTATAGTTTTAGTTCATCTCTATTGGTCTGTAACCATTATTTTGGAGACGGACGGCATTGGCAATCGCTACGAATAGCGATCCTGAAAGCTACTGTTACTAACTGTATGACTTTTCAATGATTAATAAGTACAACTATTTCATCAGAGCTATCCTTTTGAAGTAAATAAAGCCCTTGCTATTTGTGTAGCGAAAAAGACGTAGCTTAGCGCAAGTTTTATTACGAAAATTGAACTAACTACTGTATACTTTTTTCGATTGATATTTCTTGACGATCAACTATCTATTTACTATATGTTGCAATATTCTAGTATTTGCTAATAATATATACAATTAGAAATGAGTAAGACATGTTGAGAATTGTCCCTTTACCAAAATAGAACGTTGCAGACGGTATCGGACGATTATTCGTCCCAGTTTGATAAATGGTGTTTTCATTGGAATGCCAGTAAATTTTACCGCAAGCTTCTTTCTCCCTATTTTGTTTATGGCAAAAAAAAATAAAAAATAATTTCATTTATCATTTTACTTCATCTGCAGTACATGCTCATCGCCAGTAGAAACTGTCTGATAATTGAATTCTTTCCTACTGTGAGTTATGCATATTTGTATTCAGGATAAAAATAGCAATAAGAATTTACTGATGTTCATAGAATAAGTAAAAAAGATGGCTTTACCTTTTAATGAGTGGCCGAGCTCTTACAGCCACATGAATGGTATCCATGTTTTGTTTTCTAGTCAAGTTGAGCCAGTTGGAAATGATTGAAATGTTTTAACGTTACGATGACAAGAAATACTTTCTACCTACAATCAATGTAATCCGTGTCAGGCTCGTTAGTTTACTGTACTAAGCCAATATGACAAGAATACGATGGCTATAAAGATCATCAAGAAATAATATTCTACCTTACCTTGAGCAATTTCAAGTTTTTAATGACTGGATCGCAATCACTCGTACAGTAAATTAATCAAGTTTGAATTTAAATCTTGTCAAGGCGCGATCTGATTGGTTACTGGAGCTAGCGTCAGCGTATGGCAGTTACAGTACTTTATACTGTGCAGTACAGTACATCCAGTACTGTACTTATCATCATGAACTACAGTACACAGTACTATACGTCCAGTATGTGATATTAGTTTTGCTCAAGATTCATATACACAAGTGAAATATATCTAAAATTAATGTCACCGATCTGCGCAATAGTATAACACCGCCATTATTGCTGTCATTGCACTTCTCGATAGTATTCCAAAACTCCTTCTGGCTTAATTATAAAAGATAGCTACATCATAGCCATAGAAGTGTATGGTGCAATGGCGGTGTTGTGCCATCGCTACATAATATCGATAAGCTTGATTAATATTAGTTTTACCCATTCATTGATAGTCCGTAAATAAGCGACATTTGGAAGATGTTGACGAGTATAGTGTGGCAAACACTTCAAATGTGCACCGAGTCATGTTTCGTTACATAGTTAGCATCCAAAGACTATGCGCTTGTAACATGGTGCATATGCTATAAGATTACCTCCAATGGATAATCAATACACTACTCAGTATAGCCATTATAGGCTAAGGAAAAAACAATGTATGAAGAATGACCGGTGTTAATTGCCATACGCTGACACTCTTGTTATGACTCAAAAGTAGTATCTAGTGCCCAATACATCCGTAAACACCCATACTGTTCTATAGTTGTAGCCAGCGGTACGTGGCCTACTTACCGGGGTTAACTCTCGACCTACGGTAAAGTCACTGGGTGGCAACTAGCCCAGGGGTAGAATTCCAGTTCCAGCCCTGGAGATGCTAATAGTTATCCTTCCACATTTCCAACATGTTAACAGAATTAATCCGAGACGAAGGCATCCAAGTCCAGACGATTACTTCATTAATTGCCAACCATCCTCAAGAGATCAATGAAAAAGACGAATATGGCCGTACTGCTTTACATATTGCAGTTAGCCGTGGTCGCCTCGATCTAATCCAATGTTTATTGGAGAATGGCGCAGACCCCATGGCTTTAGATCACCAAGGTAACTCTCCACTCTTTTTCTCCCTCAAGCTACAAAGTGCACAATTTTTAAGCAGTCATGGTGCTGATATTCAACATCGCAATCTTCGTGGTGATCGAGCTGTGGATTATGTACGCCGTCTTGGTGGCCGATCGGAGCTCATCGACTTCTTGTCTGGATATCAAAACGAACAAATCGCTACTGCATTACAAGGTCAATCATGGATTAAATTACGTAATAGGACAAACCAACCTCGAGTTAGCGTGTTAACTTCAATCTCTACAACCATTAAATCGGTTTATCATCATTTTGGCTTAGCAAAGTTAATAGCAATATTCCTCTTTCTTGTTGTTCTCTCTTTATATCTAGCTTATTATATTACTGGTATTTGGCCAAGTAAGCACGACCTCATCTATCATGGTAGTAGATTATTCAACGGCCAATCAGGTCATCACAAGACTTAATTACTGATATATCATTTTCTTCCATTTTACGGCACCTTCTATCACTACTCTTCGGCCTAGCAAGCACAATCTAGTCGATCATAGCAGTAAATTGCGCGAATACGACAATCAATCAATCAAGTCATCCCAAGACTTAACTATATCATTTTCTTCCTTAGTTAGCATGATCTAATCGATCATAGTTAGACTTAACTATGCATTTTCTTCATTTGGGGGACATATCTTACCACTATTTGGCCTAGTAACCACGATCTATCCTATTCGCTAGTAGTAGACTATTCGGATAAATTAGAATGCACAGCAGAATCATACCACAATATCTAACATCGACGATAGAATCAAGTCAGCACAAGACTTTATGATCATTTTTTCTCTTTTAGGGTCTTGTATCGCTGATATTTGGCTTAGTAAGCATGATCTAACTTTTCAGACTCGTAATAGTAGATTATTCTACTATGATCAAGTCAGCACCAGATTTAATTACAGTATATCGCTTTCGTTAAGCGCGACCTAATACTACGATAAATTATCAATTAAATTATTCTGCGATCCATCAACTCAGCAGCCGCCTTAACTAGATTATTTTCCATTTGGGGAACCTTTTATTACCGCTATTTGGTCAAGTAAACATGATCTGACCTATTATACTCGAAGTATAAGATTGTTCTACGATCAAATCAAGTCTGCACAAAATTTGGATGTATCATTTTTCTCTTTTTGGTCATGCATTACCGCTATTTGGTCTAGTAAATACGATCTACTGTGTTATTATAGTAGATTGTTCTATAATCATTCAAGTCAGCAGCAGACTTAACTGTATAATTTCCTTTTTCCGCCTTTTATTATAGTTTACCGATATTTGAGCTAGTATATACGATCTATCCTATCGTAGTAGTACCGTCGGTTATTCTGCAATCAATAAAGTCAACATGAGATTCAATGATATCATTTTTCTGGCTTCCTATCTTCATCTTCAGGAATCCATCGAAATTTTTAAAGTTTTTTAAAATTCTAAGACAATGTAATCAAAAGTAAAATAAGCTATACCTATCTCCAAACGATCTCAAGCCATCTTTGAATATCATAGTGGAAAAGGCTTACTTACAAGCTACGATTTGTGCTCTATCTAAAGCTGTCGTAAAGAATAATTGAATACTGGTCCTGTACTGTAAATAAATAATACATACACTGTATAGCTTGCAGGGAATTTTGCGAAACATATCCTGTTAAAAGTTTTTTGTATATCATCAAGGGAAACCAAGTACTACTGTAAATAAGCGTATGATTGAACGCTGTAATAATACACATATAGTGGAAAGGATAATCGAATTAAAACTGATTGAAAATTTTCTTTCTGTGATTGTTAATTTTTCTTGAAATTGAAAGATTATTTACTAACCTATAAATAACCAAATTACTCCATTATCCTATTATGCCTATTATAACCTAAAACAGAGGCTGTGCGTTATCCTTATTAGACTGAATGAGACTAGTTATACCACCGCCTAAAATACTAACCCGTTTATAAATCGATTTACGAAATTGTGTAGGGATATTTTCAACTACATCAGTTATCACCCTTAGTTTTAGTTCTTCGAGATATAATAGAATGCAATCAAGTATGACTGTAAATAATTCACTTAACAACTATCAAATGATACAGAAAATTTTTAAATGATCCTGAAGATCCTTCCTTATGTCAAGTCCAAATTGTCAGAAAGTTGTCGTGCAATTCAGTATAAACATGTGATTGGATGTAAAGTAATAGTATAAGCAACGTTCTAATTTAGGTATGCTGGAGATGAAATCAGGATTTGAACTTTCAAAGATCTTAAACTTGATGACCCATACAATTTCTTGCTTTAGGATGTTACTGTGGCTTCATTAATATGCAACGAATGATTGTTTTAATACCAGAATCTTTCACAAAAAGAACGTAAATCCTTTTTTGCACTCAGCAATAAAACGAAGAATGAAACAATCCCTAAACCAAAAATTATTTATTCAAGCTTTCAATCAAATTTTACAGTAGTACAGTATTAAGTTTACTAGACTAACACGATTGCATCGTTAATAAAAATACTTTATATATCTGCCTTAAACTATATTACGAGAAAAAAGATCCTATTGCAAGCCATAATCATTATGATATCTTTTTAACAGTATTTCTATATACACAGCGGCGCAAATTATCGATGAAAAATCCTAAAATTGAGCTAACCGCTATAATAAACAGACGTATATGTATACAGAGATGAACTCGAACACCATTGAATTAAAAAATTATTTATGTATGTATGTATTACAACAATCTAGCAAATTAAAATTATCATCATCCTTACAAGCTAGCTTTAGCAATAGTACCAATTATTAACTACTCTATTGTACTCATCTTGCATTACTACTTGGTAACTTTTCATGCTAACCCTCTATTAATATTTAATCCTTAAGGATTGAAATTGTAAATTTAAGAAATGACGTTGAAAATCTTTATCTTCGGCTTCTGTTACAATCATGGACATTATGGCATCCAGTAACTTTAAGACGACGTATCTACAAAGTAAATAGGGGGAAGAATCACAATTTTTTCCGTATGGCCATTATAGAAGTAATCAGAGTATAACTGGGATATTACCAACCTATTAATCTTTCTATTTTGAAAACAGAGGACAATATTTTCAGCCGTTATCCGGCTTTGATCTTCATTGAGTAAATAGCTGAATAATGCTAAATCAGAATTGGAATAGAATAGTTGATATAGTTAAAGTTGCAGGTTATAAAATAAAAGTCCTTATCTAGGGTACTTATTAATCAGAACGTAGTTTTTACAATAATAATAAAGCAAAAGTTGTGCTACTGACTATAGCCTCTGTAATGTAGTGTTAAAGAATAATTTAAAAATAAATATGAAAAATTATTAACGGTAGTAGCCATGACATTAAGATATATCTAAATGTACAGTTTAAAATAAAATTACAATGAAAGTAAAGTTATTAAAACATTTACGGAATGGAATATGGACTAAGATATTATTGATAAGATAAGCATCATGTCATGCACTATATCAGATAAAAACTGATTTTCGGTATGCCATGTCAAGTTGAAATATTTAATGGATTTCTATACCATGCATAAAAATATTCAAAGTTTCAACAGAATAAAATATCTCTTAATCATCTTAGCTAATAGGCATCAAAAAAAAGATAATTCATTAATCTAAATAAGTAAGATAGAAAACTCTAGCTTCCAATCGGACTAGTTAAATATTTTAACTGCTATAAACAATTTTAGCTCACAATTACACCCTTTCGTCATCCATTCTTCAGCATTTCTCCTAATCTCTCCTTCATCATCTATAGTTGAATTAGATGATGCATTGGCTAGCCAAATGCCTTCTGGCCATAAAAATGTATGAAGATAGTTAAAATAGTAGTCCCAACCAAAGTTGCGTAGAAATTCCTTAATTCCACTAGATATCACGCTAATACGCGTACAAGAAAAAAATATTTATAAATTTTATTACCTATCAATATTACTTCTATCAGTAATGGATTAGCTGATCAATTATATGATTATGTAATAGATTAAACATGAAAATCAATTTGATTCAAAGTAAGAAGAAAACAGTCGACTCAAATCCGGAATGGAAACATGTGTTGGATAATTTCGAACTCTCAAATCATGTTTAATGCCCTTACTTTTCAATATTTTTACCAAAAAAGGAGAGTAATGCTTGTTGAACTGTGCTAACACAGAAAACAGAATCATGAGGTTGAAGTAGTTGGCAAAGGAGAAGTAAAATAGTATCGGTTAATGGATAGTGAACAGCGAGTGATTCATTGGTCATTTGCAATCTGAGGATTGGGGTCTTCCTATTACTGGCTACCGACTCATCTAAAATAGAATGCATCAACAATATAAGCTCTAATTAAGTTACCATCGAAGCGAAGTTCATCGCTAAGACTAGCTAAATACAGAGAGTAAAAATACAATTTATAGCTTAATCACTAAGGTGTTTTATCATACTTACGAATATCCATTTCTTCTCCTGTGTTCTTGTTATTTTTCGCTCGCAGATCTTGCCGACTTCTTGATAGAACTTCACGATTAAAATTAGGCACAGTTAGTCGATTACCTGTGCTACCAGGTAAATGTCCATTACTATCTATTAAAGGAATGGAGTTGCCATTCCAAGACGAATTGGGTACCATAAAACTTCCTCTCTGTGTACTTGGTACGACTATGCAATAGCAATTAACCCAGTTCAAGTATTTGCGAGAGGAAAAGACAGTTACATTTGAATGAAAGTTAAATCTATCACTTATATTGGCATAACAACGGCTGAAATTTAAATAGTAAACCTAGACTACCTTTACGTAGATCAAGAAGGGAAGATGATTTTGTAAAAACTTTAGTCTTCTTTTTGCTTTGTTGCCTTTCTTGCTCTTTATTATAAATGTAAACACTAAAGTAAGCAATAGATGGTATCTTGATTTTGAAAGATTTCTAGAAAATAGAGCAGCAAAAATAAGAGTTTTTCTCGCCATTTTAAACGAATACCGTGATTTATTAGCCAACCATGCAATGATTGAAAATAATGCAATAGCGAACTCCATCCAGTAATAATTAATTAATTATTTTAGAACTCCAATCGAATGCTACAATATATAGATTAAAACTTACATTTTGAGGCTCACGAAAGGTAAAAGTACGATAATTGCTGTAAGTAACTTTTGTCGTTGTAGATGTCTCTCCTGAGTTATCCCCTTTTTCCTTCGTTTCGATGGTAACATCTTTTGACTCTCCAGAATCTAAATCTTCAGGATCAATATCTTCACCAAAAAGTGGCTATAAATTAAGAATACACTTATAGTAAGTTAAAAACCATCAATCATTTCCTCCTATATATATGTAATAGCATACTAAATTTCTATAAGACAATACTAAAAATATCAACATGATTAGCCAATATTAAAATTATCCTTTAGCTCCGATTATAGAAATTAGTCAATTTTTTGATTTGCTTTACAATATTTAAAATTGTACCGAAACAACGATAGCTATAGCATAAATGCTATTGATGAATTCTATTTCGATAATTATCTAATATTGTTTAAGCTGATGGAAATACAATTCTAACAAACTTTACGCTAAATTTTATTAATATCATATGATCAACTACTAAAAATTAAATAGTAACAGTTAAAGTTGCAGTTATACTGCTGGCAGGTCTTATGATATCGTTATCATGCGGATGTAATAACCTAATTTGCTGTAAATTGCAACTCTAAATCAATTTAGTTTGTTATATAAAGCATTCGTTAAAAAATACAAATTACTACGGATAGAGGAAGATATTCCATAAGTAATCCTATCTAAAAATTAGTTAGTTAGTACAAAACTATTGGCTGACTCGAAAATTAAAAATTCTCAAGAAATCTCAGGTATAGCCACGAAATTGCGTAGGTGAGGATATAGAATAGGTTTAAATCGAAAAAGCACCTTACAAGAACTATTATCTTGTTGCATCCTCACGGAGCAAATCGTGATTGTATTAATAAAACTTTACTAAAAAGTTAATAATAATTCTTACAAGATAGGAAGATACTTCTCTTACAGTATAAAACCTTTTTACCTAGTCATCATTCAACAGAAATGCTGTAAATCTTACCTGTGGAAAGATTAAGTTTTCATCAGCTAAGCGTCCCATAAATTGCTGAAATTCCACGCTGTTTCTCAGTCGTGGTCGTGATATTAATACCTACGAATATTGTATGATTAAAGTTAAAATAAATTATTTTTAATCCTATTGCTACCAATATACCGATCTTAGAAATTAATAATTTAATATTTCAAAATTTGTTACAACAAAGTATGTGTATATGAACAGAATATTTGCTAAATTAAAACAAATATATTTTCATGAATGCTCTTATGTATCGTGCGAGCTAATAGCCTATTCCATTTGCTATATTTCTATGGAAATATCATAAATATCATTAATAAAATGTAGCTCTCACATCTAAAGTATAATTCTATTTAAAGGGCCATGATGCTCTACTCTGATATCAAACCGATATTAAAACCCATAGAATAGCATGAATTGGGTAATAATCTAGCATCATTTTGTGGTCAATATCCGTCGTAAATTTCTGCTCAGCCTAAAGTATGCTTTACGGTACATGATGAATTCTATTAGATTATTTTCTAATATTTAACTAGTAGCAAATGAATGGAGCAAGGCTATTCGATTTGCCTCGATGCCTGATTGATATTAAAATCGATAAGGCATTAATACTGGGTGATAGCTCATACTTGAATTTATTAACACCATTTTAAAAGAAATTATATTTTTCTACCGTACGTTCTGCTAGAAATACTGAATTACTTTTATTTTTCTCTTATCTTCAGCAAAGGCAGTATGAATTTTTAAATACATTGACTAATTGTAAAGTATATTATAATCTATCTTTAATGTTTTACTTTATGATAATCTATATCTAAATCAACTGATGCCATTTTAAACTGGAAAGCCTATTTATCTACTAAAATACGATACTACATGCTCCTATCAAGAATATTATTTACGTATCTATTCCTACTACTATACAATCTTTTATGTGAAATAACTGCATATATATAAGCTTTGACCATACATAAAGTATACTGCAACTTCTTGTCAAATATTATTTACGTATTTGCTAAGCGGCTCATCACTCTACTCTAAATAACAGTAAGTGAATTAATCTTGCCTTTAAGTAGCATTCCAACATATCTCGACGATTTTCAATAACGGCCGGATCAAATCTTGAAAATGCATGCACTAATCGCGTACCAGATAATGATAGCCCTAAATATAACAAAGTAAAATGGATACGGTCACTATTAAAACTAATCGAAGTATAATTCATAGTAATCAATTATAATTAGCAGTACCATTTTTGGTGTAAATACAAGATTAGTCAATTTTAAGCTGAACATAACTGCAAAATTGTGCGGTATATAATTTAAAACTAGTCTATACCCGTCGTATACCGATACATAGTAGGAAATGTGTAAGAAAGAGATCAGAGATAAAATTTTAGGCAATTTTATTGTAGAATGGTATGTTTGATTGTACCAGCTTTACCTTTCAAATCAGCAGGACTAAATCGCCGTCGTAGTCGCCTATTTAATGCAAAAAATTCGCTAAAACGATGATGGATTTCACGATGACCTAAAGAATAAACGATATCATCCGTATTTTCGCTGTCTGCTACATCCAGAACAAACGAGCCAGTATGTTGCCAACGGGAACGTTTTAAACGAACGTCAAATAATTTCTTAACTTTGAAGGGAAATGAACCGTTACTAGCAGTATTTTTTGATCCAATAACATCCACGATATCATCTTTACATTGATTTTTTTTGCTTAAAGAAAGAGAATGACGATCAGCTACTTTTTCGCTTTCATCTGATTTAATCCTCTGTCGTTTTTTGGCTCTTAGTGAGAAAGTATTTCTTGACTTGGATTCCTCATGCTGCTCCACATTTCGCCATATGCTATCATAATACTGAAGGATTAATAATAGATCAAAATATCATGGAATTAGGGTTGGTATTTCATTAAAATTTTGCTACTCTAGTTAAGACATTTCAATAAATCTTTGTACTATTAAATAAAAAATTCTAGAGATTAGAGCTAAAATGTAGTAATACGATAGTATACTTTTAGCGATGAATTTTTGTAGCTAGAAATATACTATCGCACTACACAATAGCATCATATAACTATAGGTTTTATGGTATAGATTTTACTTTTTTAAGCTAGACTTTACATAAGAGCTATGCGTATATCAATCATTCATACAGAACTGTAGTCCCATCTTACAAATATTAAAGTATGTTTTTGTAACTTTGAGCGAAAAAATCTTGAAACAGTCTCTCGCAAAAATTATAAACCTATCTTAAGATAAATAATTACAGTATTGGAGCTCAAGTGAGAAAACTTTAAAATTACAACTAAAGCAGCTGATGAATGAATTATATTGCTATTATAAAGATATCCCATAAATATCCATGTACTCTTTCATACTAAAATTGTTAAAATTAGAACTCAATCAATAAGCTATATTAAGCATTACGCTATCACTGTGAATAATAATATACTGATATTATAGAATTTAAGTCTACGAACTAAATGAAATATTATTATTCGTCAAAATTACATGTATATGCATATTTATAGAATTAGAGCTAGGATTGTAATATTAATATATACGTGTTAACATATTTATACGCAACTTGTCATAGAAATAATTAAAAAATCTGATCTGAGTTACCAATATTTCATTCTAAGCATTAGTAACAGAACTCAATTATCTTAAATTAACATATATAGGTATGTGTTAGCGACTTACCTCGATACAGTACAAAGTATATTTATTTCCAGTTTTGTCTTTAGCAGTGATTGTCTTTGGAATAGAGATTGGCTTATAAAATCCCAATTTTTCCAACTTATTAATTGGGTTAAAATGTAATGAAACATCATCGGGTTGATTTTCTTGTATCAATTCGTATCATAGATAAATATTAGATAGATAAAATACAAGCGTGAATCGCTAACTCATTGGTAATAGCATATAAGAATAAGGTCACGTAGAAGAATGGAATTAATGTCATCACTGATTGTTAGCTTTAATATACACCATCTCTCATATGTTATGAAATTTTAGATTCTGGATTATGTCAAAATGTAACGTATAAAATAAATTTCTACTGAGAAATACTGAGATTATGACTGCACGATATACAGAAATACCGTAAATATACCCTGAAAAATAGAGTCGAATATACTTAAATATTAAGTTAAGCAATAATAGTAAGCTAGCTATCTTCAAGCTATTACAAGACAAACAGATAGGAATAGTTGAGATCGAGATTATGTAAGGTACCTTCTTGGAAGATATCATCATTAGAACGTTGATGACCAGCAGGAGATGTTACATAAATTTGTATTCCAGTGCGATCTTTAATTTGTTGATGTTGCGGTAAAGGATTAAATAAATCTTTCATACCATTAGTTGATTTATCGGCAAAGTCTAAATTAAGTATTGTATCTTTACTATTTGTTAGATTATGATGATTATCTTCTTTTCCACTGATAGTTTTAATCTTGTGAAAGGCTTTCAAAAATGAATTTTCATTCTCTTTCTTAACACAATCAATATCATCATAGGAATGTGATCGCGTTGCTTTGGATGGAATGTTCTCATTGGCGTGAGTTGAACGATAGGATGATGATCCATCAAATGTAGCGGTTTTACGGTGATTGGATTGCACTGATCTATCCCTGATGAGAGAGGAATAAATTTTAGATATACGTTTGCTCTTATGAGTTCTTTTTGCATTATTTCCAAGCCCAGTTGCCGTGCTTTGAGCAAATTCATCTTCTTCATTTTCATCTTGAATATTTGATGTGTTATTTCCGTTATGATCATCTGTACCTTTTTCTGAATTTTCCGTTTCATCGGATCCTAGTCGAAATCTTGGTTGAACGCGCTTAAACAGTTTCTTACTTAATGTCAATTTATTCTTATTTTTGTGTACTGCTTTATTACGATTAGCAAATACTTCGATCGAATTTGTTTCCTCGTCGATTGGTTTAGTAGATAATGAAGAATTACCTTGGCTAGGAACTTGAACTGCTGCAGTATGAGTATTAGCTCGAGGCCGAATATTGTTTCCTTTATTACTTATGCCTTGTTTCTCACTTCGATCTTTTCCTGGTCCGTGAGCTGATTGTTTGTTTATTACTTTAGTCGTATTACTATCGTTGGATACATCCGATAGGTATTCAGAACTATCATGGACTGAATTAGAATTAATTGGTTGATTTAAAGTATTAGATTGATTTACTGTAATATTAGGAGGTCGATTTTTTTTCTTTTGACGAAGTTGTGCTAATTTTACGCTCTTAGCTTGGCGTCTAGCATAAGCTGTAAATACTCTTTCAATTAACTTACCCAATAAGCGATTAATAATCCGAGGCTCAGATAACGATCTAATAATGGATTGAAGAATATGCGACGCTAGAATCTCTCTTAATAAATATCTAACTGTATCGCTATTGAATTCATCACTTGATAGTAGAGCATAAAGAAGCAATGTAGCCATATGCCTAATATAATCTTGTTCACCATCTTGGGTTGCTGTAATACCTTGATAAGAGCATCGAGCTTTATAGGATTGCCAAATGAGTTCCTCTTGATCTTTTCTATTACTCCCATCGTTAGAATCCTGATGAGACAGAGGAGGAGCTGTAGGGGGAGGGGTAGAACGATTACTGCTAGCTCGATGAGTAAAACCCTTAACGCATTCATGATAGATATGAAAATGGTTAGTTAATATCCCACATAAATGTTGAATAAATAAATGTGGATCTATATTACCAATTCTATCGATTAAACGACTGCATATCTGTTCTAGTTTTTTACGTGTTTCTTTCTCGAAATGATCACTCTGACTTAAATTTTTATACCAGGTTGAGATAAAATCACGACAAATGTAATTGATTAACTTATTTAATTCCGCCTGTGCCGCAGGATTTAATTTTACAGATTTAAATTCATTTTCATGATCTCTATCATGGCTATTTTTACTACTCCTTGATGGATTAGATTCAGTTAATGATTGAATAAATGCTTCAAACCGTAACGATATATTATTATTGAGTGCCAACGTTGCTGTCCATATACCAAGTATTGGTGGCACAGTATAGATTAAAAACCAAGTTGTCGTCTCATGTGAATATAAATAAAATAAACCAGCTAAAATTAAAACGTAGATACGCCATGAGAAATATGACCATAGACGCTGTAAGAAACGATTTAAGCGAATATTAGTTAAGATACTTAATGATTGTATCTTCTCATTAGACAAGAACATATGAGTGGAGTCTTTTTTCTTCATCTTTTCTTCTTGAGCTAATATAATATACTTTAAACAATTGATCGATAGGTAAAATTCTTATTCATATTTATCATTTTTTTTCTCTCTCCAAATACTCTATTATACTGCAAGAGCAATTGATCTATTCGATCTGGTAATGTTTAGGAGTTCAGCGGATTGTAAACTCTTACCTAACCTTCAAAATTACTAATGTCAATTACAATGGCTTTCTATTTTTAAATCTTAATTTTCTACGTCTACCGTTAGCCAATTTAAGGTGATATAATCATCATCGGTAACTGCTTAGGTGTAAATTAGTACTAGCTAAAACTATACTAAATATACTCTACTATTACGAGAGTAATACAGCTCTACCTGTGTGTCCGGCATCAAGAATAATAACAAACAATATTGTCGCATCTATTCTAGCGTGCCGACATTCCAATGAAACATATGGTTTCTTATTCGTATAAGAATTAACATTTCTCATCAAAAATTGAATTATTAATGAAAGGTAAAGTAGTCTATCCTAACTTGAAGCATTACTATGACTAATCTATATATTATATCAGTGATTAAAATAGATTAGACAATAATTGAAACAGAAAACAATGATGTATTGTATTGGAAAATCTTCACTTTAGATAACGGTCATTTTGATTAGCTTACAGTTGAATTTTCTAATTAAGCCGATATTATTAACATTGCATTAGTATCACAAGACGATATGATACATCTGAAATTGGAATAGTGCTGTAGCTAGTTTATGATCAACAGGTGGCGATAGATTGAACAGCAACTAATTTGAAAATATTTCACACGCATAGACTAAAGTATTAGCGTAATCTGACTTACGAATTCTATACCGACATTAATACACCGATCACCATTCTCATCATTAATGAATTATTCAGCAAGATACGCCAATCTATACAAAATCAAGATAATGTTATAGCTACATTATGAATTAGCAACCAAGTCAGGTAGTAATTAGCGTAGGATAGGTTGGATCGATATTCTTAGTAATATTGGTTATTACTATAAAAAATATATCTTAACTGAACTAGCGATAAATCTAGTCTACGAATCAGACACTCAGGAATAGATTAGATATTAGTAAAACTAAAAATGATGTATAAAATAGTCTATCTTAAAACTCAAAGTTGATTGGGCTAAGATTAATGTTACAACTACACTCTCATCAATAAATGTCATCATTGCAGGGTAATATACTTCAAATCGAAGTATGATACAGTGGTTTACTGAGAAAGTGATGGATGAACTCAAAAGACTATTATTGAACTGAAAATAAGTCATTAAGAACTTTCGTATAGGTCTATAGTAAAACTCTGAAATAAGCTGAGCGATGACTAGTAAGAGTATACAGAGATTTTTACTCACATAGGACCGAAAGCAAACACTACATAATCTGATAATTCAGTAATTATATCGATTCAAATACATACGAAAACGTGATACTGATATCATGTTCTGGGATAAAAACAGTTCGGCAGTGATTATAGTAATACCTGCGGTATGTCTCAAATAATACGTTTAAAAATGCAGATTTCTTTTAAATATGCCTCGAGCTAGCTTCAGCTAGTACTCAATGACATTCCATTAATTTACTTATATACCAACGGAAAAATCTTAAGCCAATTTGTATCAAAAAATTCAGTTTACTTTCTTATAACTAGTACAAAAGCAAGAACAAATACTCCCCGAGGAGTCACTACAAATTCAAATTTATGTATTCTCATGGTTTAAAGCAGAATACTATTTTACCATTTGCTATCAAATGATCATCTTAATAGCTGATCTTAAAAAAATATAGTTACGCTTATGTAAATCGTTCAAAAATAAATAACATTATGATTGAACAAAAACATTTTTAGCATTTTGTTTATGATACATGGCTATAAGCCACTATAAGAGAAGCAGCTAATTACAAACAATTGCTTGATCCTTAAGGATCTTATTACTGCTATTACTTTGCTTCCAAGACATATGATTAAAATATATATTTCTGTACAAATAACTCTACATTCGATTTCTAAAGAATCAAATTTCTTTCGGGCTATTCACATCGTTTAAATACAATAAATATATCACTTGCTAGTTCAGATAATTTACGTAACTTAAAATGATAATAAAAAAGCGCATTCTTATGAAACTAATTAAAACATATTCACAATAAAATTAGCATGAGCTTTCTGCTCCAAGTAGTTCTTTAGTTGCTCTCAAATCTGTGTTATAGAGCGATCTAACAAAAAATTTAAATTAGTCATATATACTGTGTATCATTGGTATGACTATCAAATACATATTTCTACTAACTGTAATTTCGTTGTCGTATCTAAGAAATTTTCAATTTCATTTGATAATCTTATCTCCGGATTTAACTGTTCCTATTAGTAAGGTACGCATAAATGCAGTTTCATAATATTTTCTAAGCCTTAACCAATGGAGTACATAAACTTTGAAAAGTACTTGCATAATCGATTAATCGCAATGAAGCCACAAACATTTAATTAATCATATCAACCCCCTAGATTCTACTAACTTTTACAATAACTTGCAAGTTTTTTGATTGGTCTTCTGACGAATGATCAGCAAATTGCTGCTCCAGTAGGTACCCAAGCCTGAAGCAAAATACATAACACTTTAGAACATTACTGCAAACAATTAAATCTTTAAAATCTAAAGTAACTAACCGGTTAGTTTCCTTCTCTTCATTTTTTAACACGGAGTCTAGATAGCTGAGCGATTTCCACAAATCAGTATCATTTCGGTCCTTTGTCGCGAAATGATTTAATTCGCTTCTATTTGTAGTACCTTCAAGATCTAAATAATTGATCTCAGTCGTTTCGGAATCTGCATTAAAACTACGAGTATAATCATAATTCAATGGATTGATTAGTTGAACAAAGGTTATTTGAGTATGATACGAAAAGAAGCAATAGTTGTGAAACCTAATTTACATCTATCGAAGAAGCTACTGATGTATATGCATACCTTGGCTCAAGGGCTAATGAATTATATACGTTGTTAACTTCTATCCATTCAGTTGGCGCGACAAATGAATCAGCCTCGTCTATTAAATAATATACTTCTACGGTATTAAGCGGTGGCAGGTCATAAATTCCGCTATTCAGCATAAGAATAAAAAGCAGTAGGTACGTTATATTCACTTGTATCCAGTATTCTATAAATACATATTCTATTTCATTCAACACTTACATATCATCTGCAGCACTTGAATATAAACTTCCAAGGCGAAGTTGCAGGTATTCATCTAAGCCAAGCGTCCAAGGCACAAACCGAGGATCATGGCTATGACATATGCCTGCTCGATTTAAGAGGTTTTCAATTCTATTTTCAAGTTTATGGATTCATAGAAAATTCGTAATATTGCATATTAGAGGTATATCTATAATACTGCTATCAGCACTGTATCAGTCACAACCAATATGCTATGCTTTTTTACTATACCTTTGCGTAAAGCCAAGATTTTTATCCAAAAGCTTAAAATATTCCAGATACCTTATTGATTCGTTCTCCCAATTACCTTGTAAAATTATTAAATCATAATGGATAGAATATCAGTAAATTGACTAATAAGTAATCACCACCGATACATTGCATAACCGGCAGTAATTTTCCATACCTAAATTAAAACTAGGTTTAATTTCAGGAATTTTAAAAGAAAGCACTAAGTTTCTTATTTTTTCGAGACGATCAATCGAATTCCAATTTATAGGTGGCAAATCTGTTACAGATAGCATTAAAAGTATTGTTACACAAACGTTATAATTCCATGAGCGAGTAGTAGATTGCTGGCACCTAACCATTTCTATAGTGAACACTATTAATGAATTCTGAAGCAGGATAAGATAATTCGTTTAACTTTTCGTTTCCAATTGTATAAGCAATATATTGAACAACGGCATTGTATAAGGCTATGAGTATCTCCGGTTCCTAAACCAATAATACAAATCGAAAGGGTACATAGCATTACTAATAACTCAGAGTACTTTATAAGTGTTTTGATACCAACAGCTGTATATCCCCATTTGTAATATTAGAGGATTATACATCACATCACGGTATCAATATTTATATAACTTACCAATTGAGATGAATTCAATCTTTCTCTTTCATAGTAATTCTGCAATGCCGGTGTTTCAAAATGAATTTGAAAACCTATTCAAGAATAGCATATCTTAATTTTAATTAAAGAAAATTAAGTTATTCACTCCTACGAAATGACCTTCACAAATTGCATCCATAATGTTTTGACGGTTAAGGCGTGGCACGAAGCAACTATTATCAGCAAGCCAGCTGTTCATATTATATATCTACACAGGAAAGATCACAATAAAGTAATATTTATAGAGTTAAATATTACATATAACAGTAGGCGTTAGTGAGACTTTAGCTCTACTCACTTGATTTAAATCAATACTATCTTGATTTAATCGAAATACCGAGTCGCATACTAAAACATTTGCACCACATGATGCTGTTAGAGTATTTATATCTAGAAAAGAAAAGACATTTCCGTAAGGTTGCTTATTCATTAGAAAGTATAAAATGTAATCTAATCATTTTACTTACACGATTTTAAATCTGATATACTTATTTCTTTTAAAAAATCCATTAGGCAAATAGCCATCGGTATTTGATAATTGTTGCTTAGACTCTTAAATAACTTTTCTAATCGCTTTCTCTGCTTCATCCAATGGCTCTTTATATAAATTAAATCGTTGGTTCAATTAATTAGTAAACGTCTCCAATTAACGATCACAGTAATTATTAATTTTCTCAAATTTAAGTTTTACATTTATAGCATTAGTAAGAATACTAGATTATTATACCTGCAGTGACACGTTGTCAGTCTCGTTTAATAAAAATAAAATCCCATTCGTTCCAATCAAAGTAGAATCAGTAATGTCATCTTCGAAAACAATCTGTCACGGAAAGTATAGCAATTTCAAATTATGATATTATAGCATTTAAAACATAAATTAAAAATTTACTATGAATTTAAAGTAAATCAACTATCTACCCTATAGCAAAGATTTGCATTTATGACACGATGAACATGACTTATCAAGCACGTTTTTATTGTAAAATTTTCGCTTTCTCGAAAGTTTTCCTATTCGGAATCATTAAAAAATTCAAAATCATAAATAAATTTTCATGGAATTGTTCGAATATAGGAAGAACTACTCCGATCTTATTGCACACCTTTATTCCATATACAGATAAAAGACTTTTGTATATATTGACATTGCATAAATCCTTTGCCGATATCACAATGACTAATTTCCACCATATCGTATCAACAACTGGTGCATTTTTCAGTTTATTGGCCAGACGTGTTGCAATCATTTCACATACGCCAAGTGTTGCACCTTTTAAATTCCTATCAGTACAATGATCAAAATTGTCGGAAAACAATATTATACCCAGCTATATCAAAATCTTCTATTACTAAACTAACGTCCAATTTATGGCACTCTCGTTCTTCATTCTTTGGATCTGTTGTACTTCCATGATTCTCTCCTGAGGGCTAATAATATTGTCAATTATTTTTAATGTGACCACTAAATATAGTCGATACAGATAATTTTACTTACTTCATTGATGTATCCAGTGAAAGACGAAGCTTTTTCGATGGATTTTTCGGATCAACCAGGGCAAATAACTCATCACATTTTTGGCTAACGTCATAAAAAAGCGGATGACTTGGGAATTCGCCCAAAGCAGTTCGCAATTTATCGAACTCAGCTTTCACTGATTTCCATCTAACGTTAAATTATATTTATTTTCAATAAGTAAGTTGCATATACAACTTAGAAAATACTCAAATTTTGCTTTAAAACAAACTAGTCATGAAACTGAATTACCTCAGAAAAAAATTACGCAATAAAGCTATGTTTTTAGTACGTAAAAAGCCGTTTAGTTTCATTATACGCTGTTTCTCCTTTTTCATTTCTTCATCAACATATTTTGCAGCAACCGTAGAAATACAATCATCCATAATAGTCTTGTGTACATCCAACGAAATCTTGTTTATTAACTGAGTCAGTTTTTCTTTTCTGGTATTATTAATCATAGCTCTGCGGAATATAATCAATTACACTTTTTGAGTAATGGAATAAAAGTAATAAGAATTATTTCATTACAGATGAATCCCCTTACGTCTTTAGGTGTATCAATGACTGTTGTACTGCATCATTAACAACTTCGTCAATTAAATTATTGCAGGTTGTAGAAGCACAAACATCTATTATCTCTTTCTTTCGTCTCTCTTGCTGTACTATTCTTTGCCTAAATTTAAAAAATTGTTATCATTAAAAATGGAAACTTAGCTAAAAAAATCTTCCCTAATTCATATAAGGAAATTTAAATGGCGATTTTATCTTTATCACCTGTTCAGTTTTTCTTCGGTCAAGGCCAGTTCACGCTGCTTCCTCACCTACATTAAAATAATTTATTACCAGTAGATTTAATGATATGTAAACTATAAATTTATTAGACTAATTATGGTAATCCTTACGTACATCATTTAATGTCGACCGACAGGTTTCCATCACCATACCGCGTACTGTTGTTTCTATAATCATTTTCGCAACTATTTCGATCTACGCGAGAAGTTTATCAGGTTATAAAATCTTAGTAAATGAAAGTATACGAACAACGTAATTGTTTATCGGAACGCATAATAAATACTACGTATATAATATCAAGCCTAACCTCTGTGTTTGTAAATGCAGGTGCTTTAACTTTCTTCGGTACAATTTCCGGTATAAAGTTCGATATTTGAGGAACATGAGTTGGTACGGCTTCTCTAACTGGCGATACCCTAGGTATCGCTCGGTTGCTCTCGCGAACCGGTGATATTATTTTAGTCTCTTCCATATTCCAATAAGAACCAATAAACCTTAAAGATTCATCAAAACTTGATGATGGAACTTGTACAGAAACATCCGGTAAGCTGCTTCCATACACAATCTATCACACAAAGAGATATTGCATTACTACATTAAAACCTGCTATGACCATTCTCCTAAAATATTTTTCATACTTCTCCAATAGTTAAATTTCTCCTTTTCTCTTCAATAGCAGATGACCTATGAGGAATAATTCTCTTATCGCAAGCAGTGAATGAATTTCTGTCCAGTTGTATCACTAATTCAGTATCATTATCATTCACAGTCAGTCCATGTTCGTGGCAGAAATTAAACGCCTGTGAGTAAAATGTATCAAAGTGAAATGCTTGTAGATATAAATAAAATGTATTCCGCTGTCCTAACAGATATGAAGGATAATTTTACATCTTTAACAAACCTCTTCATCGTTTTCAAAAAAAAGTTGCCTAATAAACTTTTTCATTGGATAGGCAACAGCTTTTTTTCCCATAGAATATGACCGAATCATACATTGTAAACCCTTTATTCGCATCTATTTAAGAAAATAATATATCAGGTGCTTGCTATATTCGGTACGACGACAACGACAAATATGCCGTAATCCCTACCTGAGTGAAATGCTGGTGCATTAGACATGCACATAAATATGGAGCCGACCTTTAAATTTTATAGATAGATGATCAGTATTAATGAGTGTATTGAATAGTGACTAATAATTTTCTGTCGCAGTATAAAATTAATTCAAGATATAAAAGCATCGTATCAGCAATGGATATCCCTAGACTCTTTAGGATTACAGCAATAAGTTGTCTTTATCAGCATGAATTGAAAACTTACTTTATTAATTTGAAAAACTTAATGTAATTATTACTAGCAACAGCCTGTGCAACCGAAATTGCAAATTGGACAGGGTCAGAGTTGAACACTTCAGGAAGATATTCTTGAGCTTGCCTATATTGATAAAAGTATGACATGTGCCCAAACAGATCACAATCCCAAATTGTTATAAAGCAATAATCTTATAGTAATTTTTTTGATGATATGATAGCATTCACTGTACATTACCTTAACATATCTCCTTCATTTACATGAATTAAAATGTCATAGCACCTAAATTCAGCTTCACCCTCTGGCTTGAGACCCTGATAGAATAGCATACCTTTATATATACGTGTATATCCATAGTTTAAGTAATTAAGTTGAAAAGGTAGACATGTAAACCTCAGCATGTAAATCTGAATAGAAATGACGCAAAGTTTGCAAGCACTTCACTAAATTTTCATTGTTTATTTTCATATCAAACGTGTGCATTGATTCCTGACATAGTAAGTGTCCACATAACGCATGAAATCTAAAAAAATACGGTTGATATTGTCAAACATTCTTTATCTTATTGTATTATATAGGTCACCTACTGTAGCATACAAGTTGGACCAAAAATATATATAGACTACCTTGCACATTTTTCAACCAAATCCGCACTCGATAAATCACAAAGGCGTTGTATGGTAATGTCCTAATTATTATAAAATACTAAAATTAGTACTAATACGAGTATATCTACACCTTGTTAATCTACAACGATCTAAAGTTAATGATGCCATTCCGGTGCTATATACTTTTCTTATAGCTCGAGTTCTATTCCAAACGAAATCGAACCATTCACCAACATCTCTCCGATCTCCATTAATCACTTTCACGATAATATAATCCATTGTCAACGAGAGAGTTTTCACAGGGCGGAGTTCATACGGCATGGGCTCATCCTGTTAAAAAAAGATTTCATGATTATAATTTCATACTCATGTACGGTATTTAAATTTTATTAACACTTAATACGTTATATAGGTAGTAAAAGCAATAATCAAGATATAAGAGATATCTATGGTTATTTTATATTGCTTATTAAGCATGAGTACCACAAATATTTTACCTTATCAGCAGCCGAGCCGCTGTATTCTTTTACGGCTATAGCACGTACAAAGTGCTTGCGACCTGGCTGTTAAGAAGATACAGAGTACATTTAGGAAGAAAGAATTTTATAGAAACGTTAAAGCTTATTGTAATATGTGCCTTAGCATCTACCTCGCTCTCATATATACTGAACCGGTCTTGTTTTGCACGCCTATAATATTCCTATTAATACGTTATAGAATATAATTTATTAAAAATTCGAATAATTGATAGGAACATGACATCAGAATCCCAAGTACTATTCTGATTATAGTGTATATTGACTTACAATTTCCGGACACATCTCACGACACGTACCAAAGGCTTTCTTTTCCTGCTCTGATACAGATTCTGGAGGACGCTCTAGTAAGATATGTATTGTTTTCTCATATCAATATCAGCATTCCACTTTTCCGTTACATAACGGAAGCTACTATTAGCATATACCAAAAGTAATATTATTAAAAGACCTTTTCTTAGGTTAGTGTCAATTTCTAATAGAATATCGTAGCATTCGCCGATATCATTAGCAATTTTATCCTTAAACGGCAAGGCTGCAGCGGTAAGTTTTCCTTCCGCTGTAGCTTTAGTTACTCTTGTTAAGTTGGGGGGTTGTGCCATCACCAGTGGAGTATCATTTTGCTTCTAGTATAAAAGTACAAGTTTAGTACCTGATATAATTATCGTTCTCGTGTTAATTCGTATAAATTAAGGATGAGCAATTGTCGGTGAAGTGTTATCCTACAAGTACAAACACTTGCCCGCATTCTTTTATCGACGATATCAGTAAAAGCATTCACTACATTGTCTTGGCTTTTTTTAAAATCTTGCGAGGTAGCACGATTGAAGTCTGGAAATCCACTAAAATTACCAGTTTCTGATAGCGAAGAATTATTAGCACTTGCAAGGTCCTTAAAATTTCTTCCATCTGTTTGCATTACTTTTAAATTATTGTTATCAATCGTACTGAAATTAGCGCCCATTGTAGCACTTTTTTCCTGCAAATTGGCATCATATTCAAATCTATGATCCACTTTATAAGATCCTACAAATTTAGCGGCATTTAATTTAGTTTCTTTGGGAAGTTACAATATTTGAGTTAGCACAATAGCACCAATAAATGTAATAGTAGTTACAGGCTGAAAACTTATTCAACAATTATTTTTGATATTATTTGAAATGATACCTTTATGTGGATTAACTTTTTGTCCAGAACTTAGTCTTTGTTTCTGTGCAAGAGTTTGAGGTACTCTCGCAGTTGGAGAAGGCAAGGCTCCAATACGACCAATTCCCCGCTTAGCCCAGGTAAGTGATAACTGACCCGTATTTCGAAACGGTTTCCGAAACTGTTTTCGACCTGCTGTTGAGTTAGGAGTTACATCTGTATCCAAGCTTTCGTTGGTAGACACGAGATCACTTTCGTTTGAATTGCCTGAAATAAAAAGTAAACCGAACCTACTGTATTTTATAATGCACATTGCCTAAGCTTTAACAAGTTAATACTGTTAATTACATTACATTAAGTTGTAAGAATAATGATTATATTTCTGAGCACAATATGTTACACCGATATCGACGGTACAACTATAGCAACAGGTAGCTTAACGAAATATTAACGTAATAGCGTTATGAGCAATACGTAATATTTTGTAGCAATATATGCGTGTACATATTATTGTCATCTATAGGTTTTTCCTGTTATTTGTAGAATCTACCCATGTTTCAATCATTAAGCAACTGTATACTACATATATAATGACGATAAACTGCTCAAACGAATAACTGCAAGTGCGGATGGTCTACCTTGTTCATATCCTAAATATTCTTCATTAATGTTGGAAGGAGTGCCGCGACCAGTTCCTCTCTGCCTACTGATATTTCTACGTTGAAGTGGTGAACCTCTCGCAGTATTTGATGGATACTGACCTCTTCCTCTCCCACTAAACAAAGCCGTGACCACTGGACCAACTTTTACTCTGCCTCTACCTCTACCTCTACTTCTACCACCACGTCCTCTATCACCCCTTATTCTACCCCTTTCAGCACCTCGGTTACCTCTTGAACTTACTCTCTGTGATTGTTCATAGTGTTCATCTTTATTATTATAGATAAAAAATAGTACCAAGCTGGAACATTCAATACGTAATTACCTTGAAATCTATGTAAATAACATTAAAACAGACCTTTTCCTTGTATAGTACTATCTTTTTTGAAATTATTACTTGAAAATCCTTGGTCCACAACTTGACTGGAATTCGTAATTTGATTATTGCCAAGTCGAGAGAACACACTATTACCAACGCCACTTGTTGCTGTATTGCCTGCATTTACACATGAAAAAGAACAAAAATTGATTATTGAACTGTGTTGTGTATTATAATGACCGAATAGTAAGGACATGCAAAGTAAAAATTCGAACTTATGTAACATTAATATCAAAAGTAGCCCTTAGATCTATTTCAAAGGATACTGTTACAATTTACCGAATTGAACAGGTATCGCTGGATCTGTATCTTGCATGAAAGCTTGAGATGGTTCTTTATTCAATGTTGGGAATACGTCGTTACTAGAACTGAAATCAGTGGTAGGAGCTACGAAGGTATGAAAGAGATTGTGAATATAGTAATCGGATCGAATAAATTTATTTTTTGACAATATCATCATTATCAACAATTCGTACATACAGTATAGTATTTTACCTTGAGTCATTGTAACAAAGTTTGATTGTTTTGGCTTATTATAAGCCTCAGTAGGAATTTTAAATGAAGCAGCTTTCTTATTTGATATTTGCTGACTGTTTTTTTTATTGTTACCAAGCCTTGAGAAGATATTTTTGCTACCTCCTGATACATCAGCTATTAGTTTATAAAACAGAAAGCAAGGGTGTCTATTATAGTTCACTGATGACCAAATACTTTTAATTAATGAATGATTGTCTACAGTAGTACAGCATTAGTAAAGTATTGTTACTCTTGTTGGCAATCCGGTTCTAGAATTGTACATAATAGGCAATGCGAAGCAAAGGAAAATACTAAACGGTACAGAATACAGTACGATAACGTTATGTCCAAGTGTCGAGCGTATAATATACAGTACACTGCGAAACTCACTCATTTCAACGGCATCATCAGGTATCGCACCAGAAAATCTATCCCTAGCTGTGTTTCTACTTCCTCTACCAATTCTTCCCCTTGATCTAGGGTTGCGGAGAGTACCTCCCCTCTTGGCTCCCATCCGTAATCTATTCTTAACATTCTGCGTAGCTCCAGTTGCAAATGGTATACCTATACAATTCAAATGAAAGTGATTTGCATGAGTTAGTGTACTACTATTTGAAAATACAAGCATGAATTGTGTTGCTTTTAAAGAGAACATTGTTCTCCTAGCTTAGGTATACTTTACTGTCTTGTAAAAACTAAGTAATTTTATCGCACTATCAAATTGAACTGTGCCATATCATGTACAATTAAAGTGACAACAACAGTATTTGCGATTTAATATTACAGCATGGATTAAAAGACTCAATAAATACATGAAGTAGTCTTGGATAAAATGTATCCATTTTTTAGCCAATACGGGTATAGTAGATCAATGATAACTTGTAATACATTCATTAATTAATGTAATGCCTTATAAGCATCCCTTACTTTCATCGCCTGTATTTTGGTCGGGACGAAACATGATTTCAGTCTTGATCGTGGTACAGTATTTTCAGTGAAATATGTCTGATACAATCAAGAGCAGCAGTAGGAGGAGTAAACTTTAGCTATCTAGGATAAAATTAGCAATAGCATATTACTGTAACAACATCAGGCATCAGCAATCGCTGCAGCATTTAAACATTTCAAGAAATTACACAGTTGGTGCGGCAACAATAACGACTAAAGTAGGTAATAATTCGTCAGTAGATGGCCATCATTCATTGACGCTACTGATTGCTATAGAACAGTTGAATTTTCAAGTGCTACGATTTCCTGTAAGAAAACAAGGTGAATCAAATTTTGGACTGTTGTTATCCATGCATTCGTATCACTGAATGACATCATTGATTTGACATTAAGTCTAACATAAACGAGTATCTACCTTAAGATTTTTACCTATAATTACTACAGAAAATCGATCTATTCATACTCTATCTCATAATTGAGTGTATAAAGCAGTCAAAACAGCTAGTATTCAGTACTTTATCTCCTAAAATCACCCCAATTTCGATTTGTAATTGAATCTACTCATCGTCATGGCTAGGCTAATTTGCTTCGCTGTTCATGCAGCGTACCGTTACCGCGTTGAAAAAAAGTGACGTTGACCGAGCTGTATATGGAATTTATCCATGACTAAGTTGAAGATGAATTACTTACGTGCTAAGGCATTCAATTGGATTTCCAATCTTGCCCTTTCAACGATATTAGATTGAACTTTAATGGCAATAATAAAAGAAGATTCTAAGGCGAGATTGGTGGCAATGATGGCTGCTGGCTGAGTAATGCTAATTTCAATGAATCGTCCGCCAGAGCCCGATTCTACTTCACCGTGTACAGTATACAGTCTTACAGTACCTTGACGGTCCTACTGTACAGCGTACTGTATCGTACTGTACGGTACTATGCGTATGACCTGCTACAGTAGCTTCACTGTACTAAGACAAGTGAAACGCACCAAAAGACTGAAGTGCCGTTGACAGTAGAGGACTGTACCCGAACTAGCACACACTAGGGTATAGGCATACCTCTAGTGAGTACACTACAGCCACAAGTTGGTACATTAAGCACTGTATAGTAGATACTATAGTACGTGTAACCATATCAGCCGACAGCCACTGTACAAATTCATAGCGATTCATCATGGCGATGGGCTAGAAAATCATGCACGATTAGAGCCAATATCAGATTCATTCTCGAGTTTCTATTGCCATAGCTTTCTCTCTCGATCTGATCTTTCATCTGGGGTCAATAAGCAAACTACGACGTATACCGGATTGGATGACTTCTTTACTCATCTATGATTACCTCATCGCTTACAGTAAATTAATTAATTCATTATTATTATATAATATATGTGAATGTCGGTAAAATTGCCTGGCTAAATTAATTAATTATAGGAAACGAATCATACACCCAATATTCCACGGTGAGTAGTCATCCTCAAATGAACTACGATAATTCATCACGACTACTAATAATAAATTGGAAATTAGTAACCATCGAAGAGACTCAAAGCTATCTAACCTAAAGTCTTGAGGGTTACGTTAGTAGCGTAAACCTTACGAAACGGACAATCGTCGTCAGTTCAAGACTGGTAAACACTGCACTGAATAGTACTAAGTAGAATCGCTGAAGTAGACCGTCCATGTTATTATTAACCAGGAGAACAAGAACATGTCCTTGATTCATCGAGCTATTAGTGCTTGGCTAGCAATTCTGTTATTTGTCATATTCGTCTTATTGCAAGCTGATGGATTCATCCAATGGAATTGGTACCTAATCTTTTTATCTTTATGGTTATACGACTCTACTGCAGTCGTTTATTTCACCTACGATTGGTGGAAAGATCGCCATAAATACTCTAACCTAAAAATAGTAGTCTTGATAATTGTTAAACTCGTTTTTCAAAGTATTTTATGTGCTAAATTGGAAGGATATATTAACATATCCTATTATCAAGTCTTCATACCATTATGGCTACTTTTCATTGCAATTATAACTGATACCGTCGTACAGTTATCGCGTGTCAAGCGTAATTAAACTAAAAATATAGCATGACATGATATATCTAATTGTTCATGTTCATTGCCGAGATATAGTCAATGTCAAAGAATTAGAATCTCTCTTAATATATCACAAATTAGCGTGAATCTTAACAGTTTTACATTGTTGTTTCAATGCTCCAACAACTCGTTTGTTTGAAATTCTGCTTGCAATTGCCATTCGAAAACAATCTATCCCAACATACATGTACATTGTACAATGGTACAGTAACCAAAGAATAGACCGAATAATAGACATTTTCACTAGCAGTGAATAAAAGTAGCCATTGGCATCTACTGCGAACCTTTAACTTTATTCGATGGTTGGATTATGTTCTGGAACACCATAATATTAGATGTGTTGAAATTGCCGTATAATACGCAGAGAAAAAATATTGCTGTCCTGTATAACCAGGTTTTGTTGGTTCTGATCATGATTACACATTCCAGAAGACCGTTATTTCGTCTACTGTACACTCCTATTTTGATATATATTATCCTTTTATAGATACCCAATCTAAAAATCGCCTGTTGGATTTCTAGAAACTCAATATTTTAGTTATAGTACCAATGTTATCTTTTATTATTCATCAAATGGTTACAATATAAATACAGTACGAGTATAAACTGAAATAAATATGCAAAGAATGTATGCTCGCATTATACTGTATACCGTATGAAAGGCTATAACTTCGCTGGCATCTCATGATTGATTACTTACTGTTAATAATATACTGTATATATCCTGTATATCTATTACGTACAAATTGAAAAAAATTTATTAAAATATACAAAGAACTAATAAGACTGCTGTGCAAGCTTTATTTCAAGTAACGTGTGGACGTTGATGACAATTGTTTCTTCTCGCATATCGCCATGAGGTATGATGCAAACGGAGCATAAAGGCAATATAAGACGCTGTACTATGATATTACAATCATGCAGAATATCGAAATCTATACATAACCTTCCATTCGAAATCAGACAGCAGTATGCGCTAAGCAATATTGCTTAACATAACCTTCCATTCGAGATCATACAGCAGCATGCGCTAAGCAATATTGCGTATTTCAATTTAAAAAATATATTGACATCACAAATTATATTGAAGATTTACAATGAAATGCCCTAAACATGTAATCACAGAGTTAAAAGAGTGTATGATACTCATTTGTACATTAACCTTGCAACGTATTCGAGCTCATCACAACGCTTTCGCACATAATATAAAAAATTTACAGGAGCTCAGATGTACCCATCGCTGTCGTACATCAAGAATAATAAAAACATGCAATGCGATCAATCCCTTTCACATACTTTAGTGCATTATACAGCTTCATTCTGATTACCTTAAAATGTCACTTATCTATATAAAACGATAGCTATATACTCGGTTTTTTCAGCATAAAGAGGCAGCTTTAACAGAATCTTTCAAGCATTTAACATCAATAAATTTTGTACCATTGACAGAATTTTATGTACAAGTTATAAAAGCTATAGTAGCTGTTGGGATTATATCTAGCCAAAGCAAAGCTAGCCATTCTAAATGGTAGAAATATAGGTTATCCAGCTGGTGCAGATATCCACATACTCGACAACTCATATACGTTTACCCTAACGGAAAAATATCAATAAAGTAGGTTACCTTAGCACTATTTATAATAAATGGATATCAAAACCTAAATGTATCTATAGCTAACGCAATAAAGCCGGATATAAACGAAGATATTACCGTCTTATTATACTGATATAATAACGATATATGTTGATATATAGTATTTACGTATTAAATGATATTGTATGACTACTGAAAACATAGCCATCTATCAATTAAATACGCTGATTTTATACCCTAAATATATAACTTCTTACTGAAAGTAAGAAATTAAGGTAATTCTAGGGCTAACCCAGATTAATAACAGCTTTTGATTTCCTTAAATCTATTTATACTTGTAGTTTCTTACCGTAGCTCTAGCACATTCGGCTAAGGCATTAAATTCCTTTAAACAATTGTTATGGCCCAAGTTTTCCTTTTGGCTAACGCATTTTCCATATATTATAGCCTTTCGATGAAATACAGAAATTTATGAACAGTTAACATTGTTATTAGAGCCCAAATACATAGTATAGCAGCTATGAAAGGTAAAAACAAGATATCCTATATTGTGTATCCGTATAATGAAAACACTGCACGCTAGAATGAAGTACCTCATTGTGACAAGCTTGAAGAACCTTTGGCATATTGGCAAGTCTTTTACGCGCAGACTGTACCGAACTCATCACTTTATGACCATGATGGCCAATCATGACTGTTAAATCTGCAAAACAATGATGAAATGTCATGTTTTATTGGTTTTTGTATTACGCTATTAGGGTTGTTGTTCGAATTTGTAGACTGTACGTAAGATGTGCATTGTACAATATCTGTTACTGTGCATCTACACCAGAGTGAGTCGCCGTTCCTTCTTTGCATAGCATCAATGCCATATAAAATTATGCACTTTAAAAATCATACCAGACTTGTAGAAATATCTAGATTAGTGACTATTATGTTGACGTAGGCAACTTAAAATTCAGGGAAATTAAACTATACGCGTATATCAGCTACATTTTCAGCTGGTTTAGATCTACATGCTATGTTGTAGTTGTTTAATCGTTCATTGAAATATTGCTGTGCGCTGATTACTGATTTACTGTATAGTAACAAACAGTAATGATAGTTTATGAAGTCAATTCTAATCATTTATGGACAGGATTACAATTGGTACAGTCTACTACGGAACGGATTGACGAATAATGATACAGAATACAGCATAATTATGACCACGTACAGTTAGCTATGCTATGATGATAGAGAAAAACCTCTCTAGTTAGAACTTTCAAGTGTTACGAAGGCCTACAGTCGATTTTGCAGACGCTCTCCGATACATACGCGTACAATCCACCGTCGATGGCATAAGAGCAGGGAGTTTTTAAGGGAGGAAGTGTTGGGAAGGACTAGAATTGCTATCTGCTGTCGAGACTATTTACTGTACGTCAAGGTGAAAATACCAATTCAGTCATTTCAGTGTCATCGATGTACTCGTGTTACTCAAAGTGTAAAAATATTCTCATCATTACCTTATTTGCTTTTTGCACTGTCAGCTCGAGAATAGCAGCAAGAGAAGACAGCAACCCAATGTAAGATATTTAGTATCTGCTATGTTTAGATACAAGTAGGATTACATAGTTACATTACATCACTTGGATAACTTGATCACTAAGCACATAATGAGTTGATTACACCTTAGCATAGACATAGCATACCTAGATATGGAGATATGGAGTTCAGCACCCGTAAATTAGCTAATTAGGTCTTAAAAGTTCACGTTATTCAATGTTCGCTTCTTGCTGATTCATTAGTGTAACTGCAGTACTATAGAAGAAGACTTGGACTGATCACTCTTGGATGGACAGACATTTTCGGATTCATCTCGTCAAAATATTGTGTCAAACACTTCGTTATGACAGTACTGTACTGTACTTAACAAGTATCCAAATGGTCGATTTTAAACTGACTGATTATTTCTAAATTAAGTAATATTACGCTTAATCTTTATTATCTGTTACTAAGTTCCGCTTGGAGACAAGTATAGAAGGTCGTCAACGTTATTGAAATTAGTACCAGCGATTTAGAAAGGAGACACGCAAGATCGTAAGTAGCTCTTTTTGGCTATTTACAGTAAGGCCTTATTGTTCAGAAAAGTCCGCCTGTCTGAAGCAAAGCAGACTGGCGCATACTAATGTAGAGAGTTTAAAAGGGGTCTCTAGCGCACACTCCTGTACTACTACTGTAAACTTGAACTTTTTTCTAGTCTATGATTGTGATTGCACTGCCATAGCCATAATCATGGACTACTAAAAGAAGATCGGACCACGAAAAGAAGACCGGACCAGTCGGTCTTCTTTTAGTAGTCCATGCCATTACTCAACGTCGAGTAAAAGTACAGTACTGTATCACTCTGTATGTAGAAAATCTTTCGTTTATGTAAACCGTCATAATTGATGTACTGTATTAGTACTAGTCCTATTAAATCAAGTTGAGCAAAAAAGTATCCATTAAATCATCCATGCCTTGCATGCATAGGGATTGTCGTCAACAGATGATAAATTGAAGGTAAAAATACTAAATCGACTCTTTTAACTCTTTTAACGAATTAATAAAAGCTGCAGAAGTCCAAAACTAAAGGAAATACAGTATTCTGGCCTCAACTACGCATGCGGTCCACACAGACTATACTGTATGATACAGTCAGTACTAAGTCATTAAAACATCACTATGGAAAAGTTGCAGCGTTGATCGTACGGTACTGTATGACGTGGTACAGATGAAATGACGCCAACCGAGTTTGATAACAACACCATGCGAAAACAAATGCATGGATCGAAATTCTTTGTAGATAACACCCACGTGATCATCGCTGGTGATCATGCTCTGTCTAATTTGGTATTGTGGCGGGAAATCTGAAAGGCTATTTCGCGCCACAAAATTCTATATGTGTCTGCCCAAATTGGATTCAATCTCATTCCAGCTTCAAGCACAATTTCGTGGGTCACTTGCAACAAGTGTCAGTCGTCTTTCCTACATCCGTTCCACATCGTGCTTGACCATTCAACCTTTCAGGTGTGACGTCTATCCAACATCGTAATCGAAGCCCTCCAACGCGTGGAAGAAATTTTCTCTTTCTCCTTGGCCACCTGGAAAATCCAATCAAGTGTTGGACCATCATGGAATTGGTAGGATTACTCTCTATTTCTACCTTTATACAACAGTCTATATGATGGAGAGTTGATTGGCATGAATACTATACTGTCGATGTTGATTGCTAGCGAAAAAGAAGTCTTCCATCAGTCCATTGCATCTACAATTGACGTTGTTGTTACTGTTTATTAATCGACTTGTTGGGTTACTTTTAGTCTAAGAAATCGAAAGATGATCCTGCTCGCCAACAGGAATTACTCATGCAAATCAAGGTAAAGATGATGTTTCATCATCCAATACGTAGAGTAATCATCTTGTCGCTGAGAGCACAAGAACTAATTTTGGGGGCTTGTTGTCCTTCAATGATGATCCAAATTAATGAATAATCAATGATGGATCTGTCGTAAACTTTGATGATACCCACTGCTAAGTCTACCAGCCCTTAATCTACTGTAGACTCGGCTTGACTCATCAATAGCATGCACACTTAAAACGGTATAATAATAATAATCAACTCCATACCAATCTCTCTCCAAATAATTAACAAGGTTAAAAGAAGCTGTAACAAGACCACCATCCAAGATTGAATATCGCCAATTGATATACAATGACTTGAATGTATCCATTATCCAATACAATAAACTATCTAATAATCCCCTCATCACCATCATCATACGTATGATACAGCAAGCGATTGCATAAGTGATATTGCCTTCCAGTATCCTAGACAAAAACTGAAAAAAAAAACATCACCAATAGAACACGATTCGTACGGCAGTTTCCGTGTTGATCCTTTCCATCACCAGTCACTAGGCGTGATGAAGTGAGTACAACTTTATACTTTAACTTAGGAAAACATCGGCAACTACTGATGTGCGCAATTGTGCTATCTACCTGCCGGCAATGCTCCAAAAAATGATCATCAATAGATAGTACGGTATTGTCGGAATCAGCCTGCCCCATAATCAATAGGCTGTAGCTTAATTGACTGACCAGATGGTGATGAAGAGAGTATCAATGGCCTAAAAGATACAGAATTCGTATAACAAAGAAGTAGTAATGCCGCAGATCTTGTAGAACACTGTAGCGATTGAAAGGATCTTGAGTTAAGGTTAAAAGCAACTAAAAATATCGATAGATAAAATTCCACGTGCACGTAGAACAATTCCTAAGACATTCTTGTTAGTAGCCCTAGAGGGAAAGGATATAGCATGAGCTTATCATTACGATGGTAGATTATATAAATTAGCCCTACACAATCCACTTCATGTAATTAATTTATTTGCAATACTGTACGGTCTCTTGCTAAACTTGTACTAACAGAGTATTTGATATCGATCGTACTTCCAGAAATGGCTAACTCTAAATACGTTAAGAATCTACTTCATGTAATGAATTCATTTGCAATACTATACGGTCCCTTGCTAAACTTGTACTAGCAGAGTATTTGGTATCGATCGTACTCTAGAAATGGCTAACTCTAAATACGTTCAGCACAAGTATCATAGCAAATTTTACCGGGTCAATTTCCCCTACACCATTGGTGTTGGTGTCCTAGAAATTTTTCTACTCATCATAATGTCGAATTCTTTCATCATGTGCACGAGATCGTTCACTGCAATATGACCTTGCAATGATAAACAGCAGTTCCTTCCATACAGTATACAGTAGTACGTTTTTATATCTAAATTCGTACTGTAAGTTATGTAGCACGAATCCAATGGTCGATCTTCACGACTCGAACCAAGAGTAAATATTTTATTGGATAGAAAGAAAACAATCGATTATAACATAAATATTAATACAAACTTACGAATTTATATGATCATCAGTAAATGGTATAACTGACTGCTATATTTTAGGCAAAACGAAGACTGGATATGGATCAGACGTTGAACAAAAACAATCAAAATGTCTTTAAAACTCCTACCTCAAGCGGACGAGGTAGAAGGAGAGGCAGGAAAGCATCAACTGTGAAAGGTACAGTCGCTACGCAAGCTTTGGTTTCGTTTATCGGTAGTATTCACCATGGCCGTCCTGTACGGTACAATAGTAATACTTTAATGACGGCCTCAAGATGTTCATTCATGATATATATTTATTTGCCTATACATATGTACAACGTAATCGGTCTAGTCATTATAGACAATGTATTAGTAGTAGGAAGATCATGTTTAACCTGGTCGACGCTCTCGATCTTGCGTATCGACTAGCTGATTAAAGATTCTCTTCAGTAGATGTAGAGTAAATGACAAAGAATGAACTGATTCAATGTTAAGTACGTACATACCCTTAATTAATTTCTTTTCTAATCCGTCATATTAGCTGCACCTGTGAAAACCACTACTCCACCAAGTGAAAGCAAACGTTATGATACTTCACTGGGATTGTTAACTAAAAAATTCGTAGTCTTACTGCGGGAAGCTCGAGATGGCGTTCTCAATCTTAATAATGCCGCTGATAATTTAACTGTACAGAAACGTCGAATCTATGACATAACAAATGTCTTGGAAGGAGTAGGGTTGATTGAAAAGAAATCCAAAAATAATGTTCAATGGAAGTAGGTCTTGACATAACGCATTCGGCTTGACGGTTAAGATAAAACGTTAAAATGAAATTACCGTTACTATTTATTGTAGGGGATTTCAGTCATGGAAATGTGGTAAAATCAACATTCCTGCAAACTCTGCTAATGAGACTGGTTTAAAAAATCTTCACACAGCAGACGATTTCCGATGTCAGATTAAAAAATTACGTGAAGACGAGAAAACATTAGATTCCATGATTGCTAAACTAGAAGAAGAAAATAAAGCTTGTAAAATATCTGATGAAGCGTTAAAGTAAGTGCACCCTTAATGATCTACTGTATTAAGTTATTATTTATCAACTACCTCAAAAGCTGACTTCAATTGAACTATGAATTAATCTAATGGCGTACCTCAATTTATTTTATAAAGGTATGCATATGTTACTTACAATGACATCACAAGCATCAAGGATTTTAGTAATCAAACTATTATTGCGATAAAAGCATCCAAGGATACTCTATTAGAAACAACAGAGGTATTAATTATACTTGCAACGGTTTATCAGTATGTGCCCATTATGTAAAGTGCAATAATAGTTAATTTTAAATATACCAGTGGTGTATTTTCCTTTACATTGTACAATTAACAAAATGATTCTCTCTTCTATATACAATTAATAGGATAGACAAGTCTGGTTAAAAAGTAATACTGCACCTATTGATGTATACTTATGCTCAGATGGTAGCCAAAGCTGTGGCGAAGTAGGCCAACAATACAATCAATCTAATGATCATCTTACAACCTTTTCTAATGCGTTTGAATTTCTGACATCAAGTGATGACAGCAATGATTCGTCAGCTTTAGTATCGGACAGCAATCAAAGTAATAGTAATCATGATATGGATTACTACGACTATGGTGCCAACACGGATGCAATATCTAAAGATAGAATGCTAACATCGGTAGCATCTGAGCACAATATCAGTATGGGAATTCCACCAACTTTACATGGAAGTATAACAGCACCTCCTCTTACTAGTTATGGCAATAATCCTAACTTATGTGATCAATTAGATGTTAATAACCATGGCTTGAGCAGGTGTCTATATGAATCAGAAATAAATAATTACCAATCTGATTTGTCTTTCTGTACACTTGACCATCCAAACGAATTTACAACCCGCGCTAGTGACTATTTGTACTCACTTAGTGAAAATGAGGGTATTGCGGATCTATTTGATTGTGGTGATATTGTTGGTAGCTTATAATAATCCCATCGTATCACGAATGCCTGTAGCCATTTTTATTCAGTGCAAATTTTATGTAAAAAATACAGTGAAACTGTTATTGATGAGCAAAATTATATACTATCCACGCAATGCGTCTATATCAGTATTATTGTTTTACATAATTTGAAATATTTTAAAATTGCAACATTTCAAATTTACTATAATGCGATTGATACTTACCCCACGTCGCTATTGCAATTTTCAAATCTTAAATGCTATTACTGCAGTATAATGGTATATGTTTATTTTTGTGATCAACTAATGTAGATAATAATATCATGCTGCGCTATCGTAGTACAGGAAAGTATTGTATTATACAGTATGTGTGTTGTATCCTCCATATCTTTTTGACACCATTGGTTAACCCCATATTTGGTGCAAGAGTATCGGCTTAAAAATTATAAGTACAGTTTATGTTTAAAAGATTACTCAAATATCTTCTTTGCGTCCTGGTATATTCACAATAGCTTACCGGCTATTAAAGTATAAACTTTGTGAAACAGCATAAGTAGTTGAAAATAGAACTACCGTTTATGCTGCAACTTATAAAGTAAGATTTTTGATGTAAGGATTACTTTCAAAATATTGTCAAGTTTATTGTTGTTTGAAGTTATCGATATATTTATAAATCCCTTTGAAAAATTTCAGCTCTGAGCAATATCAAAATAAATCTTCATTGTCTCCATTTCTTTAAGCCTTAGATGTGTAAGGTATCCTTATTAGTTTCTTCCTTCATCGTGTTAGTGGATACAGTAAAAATTCTTACAGATAACGCTATTACTGTATTTACTCTTTAAGAACATCCATCAATACTACAATGTCAGTAACAGTGAAAATTTTCTTGGTTTTAATCAAAATTATAGGTGTACCGTATTTACGGCTCAAGAACGGCTATGATATATAATTTACGATAGCCATAGCTAAGGTTGTCACGAATATTGTGATGATAGTTATTGATAATACAAATCATCGATACGAACAGATATCGCATATCCTAAATTAGAAATAGTAAAGCAAAAATCGCCGGTATGTCACATCGTGCATCTTAATTTATGGTAATCGTAGTTAATTTTTTATCCAAGCTAAATGTTCCAATTGTCTTTACTCATGATAAATACGTATATCTCAGGGACAATTAACTGCTGCTTTGATTTAGAATGTATAAAATTCATAAAAGCTACAAGTTTCGATGATAATAAATGTGATCTACCATTGTTGATGATCAAAATCATCGTCATAGGATATCGCCTAACTTCATTCATAATCACTGCTAAAATCATCACAAAAATCAGTTCTACGAACAGTTACTGTAACTGTGCTAGCCCTTGCTACTGAAACCTTATTCAAACAGTAATAAATATCACCGTTACGGCCATTCTTAGGAATGGCCGTAACGGCACTATCTAGTTCAAACCTCATAGATGATATCTTATACATAATGTGTAATTATAATCGCCATTTTTGCAAAGTTTAGTTGAGATAATAACAGGACTAGCCAATGTTCTTCACAATACATACAAGAGGTTAACTAAAGAAACTGCCATTTAATTCGTATAGACTTTAATTCATTTGTAGTATCATGAAGTATAAAATTAAAATCCACAAAGTAGAAATAGATAGCATATGGTGTAAATATATAAATTTAGTTTGTCGGTATAATTTACCTTACTTCTGATACAGTATCATATTCAATTACAGAACGCCATTATCACGTCAACAATCGATGCTAAATATTCTATGAATAGATTATTCTTGACAGTCTGCCGTACATATGCCCACTTTACCATAGTTATTAGTTGTGAGTATCTTTTTATACTTATCTTCATCGTTATTAGTAGATACGGCATGACGTTATTTAGGAATTGCGTTAAATAGTTTCATAATGGTTTACTATCATTATAATAAGTTAATAGGGCTAAAAGCTCTGATTAGGAAAAATTACAATTTATATGAAGAAAATAATTGTCACTTTACTGCTTACAAACAAATTATTGGATTATAAACGTATATAGATAGAAAGAATAGCTTTATAACATCCGGATTAAAGGTATAATACTAGTTTTTGTTCCTTTAGAATCTCATATTGATAGAGATGCGTCGAAATAGGGCTGTCTTATATTAGATTTTAAATTAATGCAAGCCAGTCTTCTACCAAAACTTATAGTAACCATTGAATTTTAAATTTAGTAATCAATATATACATATATTAAACTTTCTCTAGTGGAACAGTAGTTTGAGTTTTTTGTGTTTCTTTAAGCGGTTCACTAATAATATGGCTATGTATTTCCATAAATAAAGGAATATAGGTTAAGTAGTCTATAAATTCAACGGTTCCAACGTTGTTTTTATCAAATTGTTTGCGAACCTAATGGAAGTAAAGAATCGATTTATATCCTATCAGTTAATTAGTATAAATTAACATTACTGTTATAAAACTTAGCTAAATAAAAATTGATGACGTCTGTCAATAAAATTAAGTGAATATTGAAAATTTTACCAGTCTGACTTGATCATGGGATAAGCCACCAGCAGCAAGCTCAATAGCTAGATTATCCAAAGTAACAACACCCGATGGTCTATTAAAATTATCTTCGTCCAGTAAATAGAATAATTCCTACAACAAAAAATAGATTAAAAATTAATATACAATATTTGACTTAGAATAGTCTAATCTTGATAAATTTAATTATTTAAGTCAATTGCATGCTACTTGAATCACTGAGCTAAATTAACTTGATCATGATAAGGTAGAAATTATTTTCATCTATGTTTTAAAACGAAAACAGGATAATTCAATTATAATTATTACTCTATATCAAAGCCTTTGCAGTCTTATTTATACATCAAATACACTATCCGGTTTTTAATTTTGGACCTATTATCTAATCATAATCTAATAGCGTTAATCTCCATCACTCCTTTAATACTCACTTTGCACTTTTGTAGCTTGACATCCAGGGCATCAAAGGTTAGCTTGTTAATCATATTTTTAACAACACCACTAATAGATCAAGAATAACATAGATTAATTTATTGTAATTACAAATCGCTACAGCAGTCAGAAAATTTCCTGACAGAAATACAGCTATATTGGTTGATAAATAGACTTACTCCAAAGCTACAACTTTCTCTGACAATGCTGCTACTAAGGTGAACAATTTAAAGTTCAACTTTTTCCGGCCAGGTAGATCAAGGATCTAATAAGATTAAAATTAATTGATTAATTTATGTTCACTAACTCTATTTTAGATCTATTATCTCCTACTGCAGTATTTTAAATACTCGTTGTCGACAAAACCCATTTTTAAAGCAAATTTATATGGTCATCAATGAACTATATGAAGGGAATTGTTCTAATTGTAGGTTATTATTTATTAGTATTTAATCTAGTATTAGGATTTATATCAACATTCTACTCTTTAATTTCACTAGAAGGAATGTTGAATTATATGGCAAACCTGTTTGACAAAATCGATTTCTTTCTCTGAAATTAAATTTCGATTGACAGTCTTGAGAGCTGAACCAAGTTGTTTTAATGTCAATGATTTGTGGAACTATACCAAAAAAGCAAAAGCAATCAATAATAACAGAATTAAATTTTATCAAAAATCGACGAATTGATGGTATACCGTACTAGGTAGTTGATAGTATTCATTAATAGATGAAAACAACATTTGTTGTCTAGCAAACCTTTCCATCGCGTCCTCTCCCTCGCGAATGTGATGTAAGATATTTACTTTCTTTTCTGCCACCAGCGCTACCTGCTGTGGAAACATGGCGTGTTTCGGTCATTGCTCTCCTTCTTGGTTGATAAGATTCTCTCTGGTCAAATTCTGAGATATAATTGGAGTGTTGCCGCAAAATTTTAGTCGGACCATCTGATGCACTATTAGGCTGACTACGATGTTGCAAAAAATCTGGCCTGGCAGCTTCATCTGGCTCTTCGATAATTGGTAATCTTAAATGTGCACTTTCGCCATCCATGGCCATACCACCTGCACCTCTCGATGCTAATGGCGTTGTAGTTGTCGAATCGACTTTATTAGACGATGATACATTCGATAAATGATGATCTCGGCCAGATGAACTGAGAATGCTAGCCGCTGATTTAAAGTCAGCATCATTAAGTACCGATAGATCACCTCTTGTCTTGTGCAATAAATCTCGAACTTCTTTCATATTATTACGAAATTGGATAGACTTTGAATCTGTTCTTGGTATAGCTGATAACATGCCTTCAATTTCACCAATGCTTAAATCGCTATCGTTGGATGATGCTGGCGATACATTTGTCGACATGACTTGTCGTAGTTTATCTAGTAGTAATTCCCTTTCTTGTAAGCTACCTTTGGTTACAGCATGACGGCCTGTAATAGTTAATTGCGGCTGTTGATTTAAAGCAGCCATGGTTCCTTCAGGATCCAATCGATCTAATAATTGTGCCGGTGTCATTCCACGAATTTCACTACCGGTAAGGCCTAAGTGTAGCTATAAATTTGCAATCATATTTCAGTCTTGGTTGTGAATTATAATTGACGTATTTGACATTCTGCTATAACATTACTAATTCTAGTTACAATATAATACTTTTAGGCATACAATAATAATATGATTAAAGTAATATTATCAAATTATTCGAAGCACTTATAAAACTCTCAAGAAGCAAGGAATACATTGATGTATCTACCCTAGTTGATATGGTACTTCTTAATTTGTTATTAAATTAATATAGAAATAAAAACTCTCAATGAATATATTAATTTATTTACCCTGGTTGGCATTGCCGATACTGTTTTTTTTGGTGATTTTTGAGGTGAGCTAGTGATGACTGGAGAAGATTTCTCTTCATCATTATCAACTACTTTTCCATTTTTTTCCATAGTATCGTCTTCTTCTACTTCAGGTTCTTCTATAGTTTTCATTTTCTCTCCTTGATCCTCCTTGTCATCATTAAAAAAATCATACCCATATATTTAATAAACAGACTATTGTTTTATAAAGCGTTGTTGTATACTTACAATATACCGGTAAAGAATTACAATAACGATAACGGCAATATTTTGTCAAAATATTAAGTATAAAATATCATAACTTAATTCTAGAGTAAAACTAAGTGTTAGAACTGCAACCAAGTCATAGAGTTGAAAATTAACTGTAAAATTTAAATTTTAAATGGGATGGAGACTGAATTTATAATATAATTTTCTTGATAAAGATAAAACTGAAATCTGCTTCGATAGTAAAGATATCTGACCTAAGAAACAATTTAAATAGATTCAAATGAAAGTCGTTGCTTTACGCTATTCTTGCTTTACGCTATTCTTGCTTTAGATATCATACCTTATCATCTTGAATAATTTTATTGTAGACACTGCTGTACTGAATAATTTTATCTTTGCTGTGTAAAGGAATAGATACAATAGGTTAATTGCGATTGGTAAAATATTATGATGATATAATAGTACGCGTACACAGCATAAACCAATTTTAATATAGGCTATGATGAACCGATTACAATAACAACTGGACATGACATTATAAAATCTTATTTACCTTAGAACCGAGTATTTGGACAAATAATCCAAAGCATCAAAGTTAACTAGTGTGAAAAGATGATATCATATTGATTATTTACAGAGATTCAGAAAGTAGAGGTACATTAAAGTATTATTTTGCAAGTTAATGGTGTATCAAGCACAATCTATTTCATTAATTGCGATATCAATCACTTAGTCATGATATTATAGATGGGCAAGAGGCTAGCAGAGACTCTATTAGATTTATAAATAGAGCGATGCTTACTCGGTGATATCATCTTAGGGCTGTAAAATCTATCGTAGTAATCGTCTTCATCATCATCCAAACCTAACTGATTTGTTTCACTATCTGGGGTATGATTTTGTCGATTTCTTTGAAAACTATTGAATTTAATTAATTGATAAGAAAAGAAATTATTCGATCGATAAATTTGGTAGCCAGAAAATGTATTACAACATATTCTTGAAAAATCAATTACTCTACCTTGCTTTAATTATGACTTTCTTCTTTTTCTTTTTTAACTGTTTCTTTTCAGGTGCTTGTGATTGAATTTCTTTACGTCGGAATCCTAACCATTTTGATCTATCAATGTTTGGCTAAAAAATAAATGATTAAATAATGGTTATCCTTTCAGATTTAAATAATATTTATGCTCTTACTTCGCTACGACACAGGAGATGAATACATATTATATGAGTTTAAAAACGATTAGTTGTCAAATTTTTCATGATGGTTGTATGCTAGACTGTAAAATTGGATGAATATGTTCCTCTTATTATTCGAAAAGAAAGTAAGTGTTATAGGCTTGCGAATGCAATTAGAACACGTCATGCTTGTTATACTTTATACGGTAAAAAAGCATGTTTATCATTCATGCTTTGGCATGAAGAAGATCAATCGACTTGATCTTTTCCTTATATATACGCAAATTAATAGGATCAAGAATCGCTCCATTAAGTATCGTATATCCGAAAACATGAACAGAGATAGGCGCACAGTATCTTGATATTGTAATCAGTACAATAAGAAAGATCTGTATTCGAAAAGCTACCTTATCATCGGAGAATGTTGGCACTGGTGGTGGAGCTATAGCAGGCATATCAGGAGCTTCAATAGCCACTTTAGGTATGTCTGATATATCAACATCGGGAATCGTAGTTTCTGTTTCGTCTATTTCTCCTTCTTGTCTACTTTCATTGCGTGAATTACATTTACTTTCGAATAAATCACCTCCACGACGAAAAAATATTTCGGCATCGAATGGAAAGAGATTACCAACAAAATCTTCATCTTTCTTATAATCTGGTGCAGTAGCAGTATCTTGTATATCAACAGTCTCGTCAAGCTGGGCGGCAGTAAATGAATATAAGCCTTCACCCAATGGATTTCTATCTTCATCATCGTCGCTATCCTACATTACAAAAAAAAAATAGATTAGCAGTTATATCAGTTCATTTCGTTAGTCAAGAGCAAGCGGATCACTTAATATGTAATAAAATATAGAAATCAACATCAACTTACTGCTAATAGATCGTCCGTATCTTCATCCGTTAAAACTTCGGAACTACTAACTTTGAAAGATAAGGGATCGATTAATGGGACTAATGGAGGTTCTTTTAGAGACCTTCCAGCGTTAGGTTTTCGGATATTTTGAACTTTATTCTTTCCCCTTGATAGAGGATTTTGCCTTGAAATTGGAGATACTCCTAATGATAATCCTTTCGTTTCTGTTGTTGTATCATTTGCTAAAGAATCTAATTAACCAAACAAAAGTTAGTCTCCATAAATGTAGTCGATATGTTCCGGCAGATAATAATAGTAAGATCCTGTAATGACTTACTTGTCGTGCTCAACTTTCCTATCAATTCAACATCAGGGATTGGCTCAGGAGTTTGAGGAGCTTCGATCTTTGGTACATTTTGCATGGTCGGAGCTTCTGGCCTATTCACAGTTTGGTTTTCTGAAGGGCCATTTTTGGGGATAATTTTATTGGGTTTCTTGATTGAAATGCTGCGGCCTTGGTTATTCGTATCTTTTTCCATATGCAACGATTGACCATCACTAGCTGAATGACTTTCTTCCAAGTTATTTTCGTCATGAACTAGAGCATCTTGATCTGATTTAAGCATAGAATCATCCGTTTCATGAGCATGGTTATGATCAGGATTGTCTATATATTCTCCGTGCAATAATTCTTCAGTTAAATCAACATCAGTCGGTGAATTTTCTCGCAAGACAGGATCATCTTCATCAACAAAAAATTCTTCTTCTTCTTCTTCTTCTACTTCAACTTCTTCTTCTACTACTACTATTTCTTCTTCTCCCTTCTCATTCGTTCGTTTGATTGTTCTCTTAATTCGACGATTTTTCTGTCTCTCCATAATTCTTCTTTCCACGCCTAAAATACGAAGCGATGAATAATAAATTTGAATTACGGTATGCTTGCATAAACTGATCATCTTATTATATACTATATCTTATTCTGAATCGATTTAGTGAAATAATCGATTAATTCCATCATACCTTGTCGTTTATCTAGCGCGGCTACATATTCATCTCTTCGAAGAGCATTATTGTTAACTAAAATGCAAAAAGCCAATGTAGTTAGTGGTTAAAACTATAAATGATTATTATTATTATTGGCTATCCAGCGCCAACTTTGTTAAATAAACACAGCTATCAAGTGCTACTAATTAGATTCACCGACAGCGCGATTATAATTTAAATTAATTTTGAGGTCTGTATAACATTGATTATAGTTTAATCAAATCAATATTTACAGTTTTAACAATACTGGCCGTTGAATGAATTCTACAGTCAGAAACAACATTAATCGAAAATTTTAACTAATTTATTATAATGAAAGTTGTTAATGAATTAAATGTTACCTGGCTTATAAGTTAAGTAAACTCCCCCTCCAATAGCTCCTGTTAGATCAAGTGGTACTGAAATAGGAATACAACCAATTATTCACCAAATAAATATAGACTAACTGATAATTTTATTTTTCATTATACGATGCCTGTTCTACCATCACTTCTAAATAGAATCACACCTATCAATTTACAGTATAGCAAGATAGTAATAATAGCCTGTAAACATTTTCTTTACTATTTTCGGAACTATACTTGCTCAAGCTAGGCCTACTTTGTAAAAAGTGTAATCAAAGTTACAATAGTCTATTTTCTATAGCAACAGACCATCACTACCATATAGGATTAAAAGTTTCAAATTCATAAAATAGCGGTATATTATTGCATAAAATTGATGATATTTCTGCGATCTATGGCCTTCTTCGTATCATAGTGATTTCTATCACTATTCAATAAAATATTTAGAGTTTATTGGCAAGATAGAGGCATCTCCTTACATGAATTTTCTTCGACGTGTCCATCGTCTTTACTCTGGTTTTTACCAGTTTGAGTTGAAGACAGACTATGCGTATCCGTATCATCATTCCTTTTTCGATGTTCTGCAGAATCAGTACTTGGATTAATAGTATAACTGCGTTGTCTAAAGGTTGGTTTAGCAATTTTAATCCCATCGACTTTTTGAGCAACAATTACTGGATTAACAGTTTTAATTCCAATTTGGAGCCTTGGCGGAGCTAAAAATCCTCCAGATGCTGCTGGTGCGTCATTACTGTTTTCAACATCTTTCGATTCTAGTTTGTGTAATGTAAATAAATCAAATTTTAATATGGTAAGCCAAATAATTTAGATTGACTTGAAGTGACAACTTCGAGCAATAAATAATAGCACTATAATAGAAATACGTTTTGAATAAATTGCTTTTAATAAAAACTAGACAATTAAATATGTCGCGATACTCGTAATCATAAATAAATAATTTTGTAGTCAATTCTATTATCTAACCTTGAGGTGGATTTTTAACCGATTTCGTTATATTTTCGTCATCATTGTTATCGTCATCATCAGACTTATCGCTAGGTATATTCTTAATTTCATCCTTTGCTACTGATTTAGGAGCAGCGATTTGTGATTTAGCTCGGCTTCGCCCAACCTGCATTACTATAATGGTAAGGGTAAAGAATTTTAAAACTTTAAGACCACATTCAATTAATTTAGCAATCTTTTACATAAGCTTATCCAACTGTCGCAAAATTGAATACAGGTAGGCGAAATCTGGCAAGACAATGTAGGATACATACATGGATTTAATGAACGTTTATTCAATTCATTAGGGTTATTTTTTCGCAGAATAACCCGTTTTAGCTCGTCCATAACTTCATGGTGACTTTGCTTAGTTAATTCTACTTGTTGTCCGATAGAAATATCTTCTCTTGCTTGTTGAGTTGTAATATGTTTACCACCAATCATGAAACCTAAATTATCATTTGTTTGATCGCCTAACTGACTTGGATGAGCATCGGTAGAGGAATAGACCTGCTGCATTCTACTATTAGTTGCTATAGACAGTGCACTATTAGGAGTTACACTACCATCATCTAAGCGATAGATCTGACCAGCAAGATTCGTTGCACTTGGTGCTCGAGCTTCGTCAGGATACCATAATTCACTGGTAGGTGTTGCAGTTAGAGCATCTTCAGCCGGTTGTGCAACTACAATACTAGCGGAATTTTCCTCTTTCTCTGCCAACAACAGTGATGATTTCATGTTGGATTCAGGATGTTGATTTGAAGCCGGAACATTGGTAATATGAGCATTAGATCTATCCTCATGTAATGCCAATCCTTTTTGCTTTAACTTGCGAATTTTCATCATTTTATGGCCTTTCTGGCCTTCTATAACCTCATCATCATGCCCATCATCTTCTTCCATTGTTAACATTTCTTCTTCTTCTTCTTCTTGGGGATTAACGATAGTGTAACTCTCTTCATTTGAATCAACTATATCTGCAACTACATTCTCTGTAGTCTCATTTTTATCCTCTTCATCACTTTTCATAACATCGATATTGGCGTGGGGTAAACTATATGGTACCGATGACGAAGTAGTATTAATTGTTATAGATTTCTGTGGTTTTCTCGAATAAGCATGATCTTTATTTGAATGATCGCTGTTATAATTATCTTCTTGCGATAGATCATTGACATCATCGAGATTAGATTGTTCAAGCCTAGAAGCCAGTATTTCCCTTTTAACTTCAGCAGCTTTATCTTCTAACTTGGCGGGCTCATTATAGATAGATAAATGATCAAAGTCTTCAACAGGAACTGGAATATATTCATCTTCTGGGTTATCGAGAACTGTATTAGGTGGAACTATAGTTGGGATATAGCCAACCTAGATTACATTAAATTAATTATAATTTAAATCTGTTTGTCATGATCTCCTAATCATAGTAAAATTTGGCTAAAAATATATTAAAAATTTAAGGTTAGAATTCTTTTACCGATAATAACTTATAAATAAATATAGAAGAGATTAAAAGCTATAATTACGAATAGCTGCACTATAGTTGACTATAACAATTGCCTTTCAAAAGATCGAATGATTAAAAACTGTGCATATTAGTATATCTATTCTGTTATTATATGTTCGAGCAAATATATTTTAGTTCTAAATAAGTGAATATAAAATACTATACTATTATATCTCTCTGATAGAAGGTAAGAATTAAAAAATTTTATGAAATAAGGCTCTAAAACACTAATTTAAATCCGTGAAGTTATTGCGTATCGCTATCTTGTAAAATAATTTTAAGATATTGCATGGAAAATAAATACTATAGTTTGCAATAATTTAATTGGCTCCTAATATTATAATTACCTCCGTAGCATGGGATGTTATTACATCGATTTTAATGGCAGGCTTGCTTCTTTGTAATCCAAAACTGCCAGTATGTTGATTCCCTAACTTGGTATAATGAGCTATTGTCGTGTTTTTGATATCGTCCATACTTTGAACAATCGTGAACTTATTATTGCTAATATGATTACCACGGCTATCAGTAATTCTCAATGATTTCTTTAGTTTAGGATCTAACTTGACTAATGGTATGCAATAAATTTTACCAACAGCCTTATCTTTATTTTTTTCCTTTTTTAATTTTTTCTCTTTCATCCTTTTATCAGCTACTAAACTAATTCGTTGATCAATAAACTTGGTAGTTGGTTTCTTTTTCACTTTAGGCCAGACTGGTGCTGGCCAAGGCAGTGGATTATGTGGAGTCCACTTAGGCGATTCAGGTCTAGTTGAATTCTTATGTACAGGTGTGATAGGTACATGATCTTTTAATAAATATCCTAAATTGAAGCAAAATTATAAGTATATCGATTGTGTAAACGATATATCATGATTACCTAATAGTGGCTCCGTGCAATCAGAGCCCGTATTCGCTACTTACCGGGTAAAATTTTACTATAATCTCTTTCAGGTAATTCAACAAATCTCAGTCGTGGTGGAATAGAACCTTCATCATCAGGATTAAAATTGGACAGTATATCTCTCAATTGCTGGTTAAATATAATATAACCCCCTCCCGTACGAATAGCTCTTGGAAACCTAAGGTATATGTTTAGCAATTGAATTTTATCATTAAAATATAGCACTTAGCTTCTATAAGATATTTCAAATACACATTCAAGCAATTTATTCACTATCACCATTCAATTACCGAAGTTCTTGAGTTTCTAATCGGATACACCCTTTACAAAGAGATGCAATAGGCCTATTTGGTTCTCGTTTTTCGTGATTGTGGATGGATTTATTGTCCATGGGTGGCTGAGCAACAATAGGCATGTACTGAACCTTTTTATCCTCAGTAGGTGGATGATATAATTGCTGAACATACCATATACATAAGATTTATTTTAGATATAATCGATTAAATATATTGTCTTTTAGAATTTCATATCAGATGCTATTTAATTCCAATGTTTATGCTAAGAGTAAACGTAATATTATACATCTAAGATATATCGGCGATATCATTCCGAATCTACGTAAAACAGAACTTAAATTACAGTAATCATGAAATTAGTCCTTCATTCAATCTCCAGTATACTGTAGATATTAATTCTGTCTATTGGTAATTATACTGAAACAACATTGTAACTGCTATGCTAATATAAATAAGAAATAGGTGGTTTCTGTACAATTAAAAATATATATGAGTATAATGTACACACTTACCTCTAACATCGGTCGAATTGTATCGGGTACTTCAGGAATATCCGGCAACCATATTAAATCATCTTCGGTAATATAAATATGTCCACCACTTTGTAACAAAAGAAGAAAGTTTTGTTATTCATTTAAAAATAAAAATAAATAATCAAAGTATGTAGAACATCTTGTCCAAAATATTGTCGAAAATATTTCTTAGTACAGTATGCAATGTGATAGCTATCATAAAAGTATTGATAAAAACCGTAGTTTTTACTAGCAAAACTAACAAAATGGTACATATTATATATCCTAAGTCTGGATTGCTATAAAAGCTTATTATAGTACAATTTTATTTAGAAACAAGTCAAAGTCCTTACTTTCCCGCATGCTTTTCTTCCTCCAATTGGTTTAAAGTATCGACCGATTTCTAGAAGAAAAATATTTTAGCGAGGATTTAATTATAAAATACGATAAGAAATAACTTCAATTTAAAATTGTATAACTACTAGAGAAATTATAGCAAAAATATCGTACTCGCATATACTGTACGATATAAATATGCGATACATAATGAGATACTCTATCCAATAGATATTTAAATAGAACACCGCTTATAATGATCTAGAATTAAAGTCTAATCAGTGCATGAAGTACGATAAGTGTCATAAATGATCAACGCCGTTAGACGTATATTTTAATACTGTTAAGATCAAAAATATTTAAGCTATCAAAATAAGATTAAATGAAGTAGCATATTTAAGTTGTACATGAATGCTATTACTAAAGTCACAATCACTTTAAAGATCAGTTAAGAAGAATAATAGATCTCTGACCTCCCGGCAGTCTTTAGTATTTGCCGCCACTGTACTGTAAATGTACTAGAGTATCATAAGGTAACTAGAAATCTTATTTAACAACGACAAAGCAGTTGAAATGTGTAGTGCTGGTATATTATTTTCTGTAGTCTACTAAGCAGCATCATAAGTCGTCTGCTAACAAATGATGAAATAAGAAAAGGATAAATCGAAAATAGATGGTCATCAGTATAATTTTCTTATAGCACCAATTATGGTTACAATGTAGTACATATATTACTCCTTTAATATTAGATAACGTTAGTAGTTTTAAGGTAGAAGGAGAGTAGAGTTGTTACCGGCAATTTGCGAAATCAATCATTTTGCAAATACTTGAAATGCTTTAGTCTACTAAGTAGCATCGTAAGTCTCCTCTTAGGAATGATGAAGCCAGAAAATTGATAAATCAAAAATAGATGGTTATCGGAATAATTCTCTCATAGTGCTAACTATAATTACAATATAATATATTACTCTTCATATTGGGTAAAGTTGGCAGTTTTAAAGGTAGAAGGAGAGTGGGATAGAATAGTTTATCTACACGCGTGCAAGAATATGGGATTGCGAAATGTTAACCATCTAATCTGTGGGATTTTCAAGCGTGAACATGATATGAACATAGCGAGAATCACATGTACAACTATTACTGGACTTTAGGTCAGAGAGAATCAAAAGTTTTACATTTCTACTAAATTAAGAAAATAAAGTGTGTGATATTATTGTTATTAGTACAGTAGCTATACTGTACGTAGTGAAATATCAAGCCATAGAATGCCATCAAGTACTTTATTTCGCTAAGTGGGAAAATACAATGTGATCTGACTTGAAATAATTATGGTGATATATTATCTTTTTAAGGAAGTGAAGGGATTAATAGTTATACTTACACTTAATTTATGATGAGAAGGACGCAATTGCCCATCATCTTGTTTAGGATCGTATACATTCTCTATTGAACGTGTCAACGGATTTAAATGAAATGGTTTCTTGACTGGTGGTCGAAAGTTAGAATTAATTCCCACCGTGCCATCGGGCCTTCTGATGGACGATTGGTTCTCTTCAATTAACTGGCGTTTTCGAGAAAGTTGATAGGGAAAATTTTGGTGTAAATCTTTCAGTTGATTAGCATCATTCTTCAGTTTTGGTAATCGAAATTCTTTCTCTTGATTTTTAAAATTATGTTCTTTTTTTAAGTGATCCAAAGGGTTAATATTGGTAGCTTTACGATCAATAATAGCAGGTAAAGCCATAGCGATTAATATTGAGTTAAAATAATCCTATCTGAATATTACAATAGCTAAATAAGAAATCATAATCACACTTTCATCTTTAGAAGAATAAAATATCAGTTTAACAACTGATTTTTACTAGAAATTCAATATTGTAGCCTATTGCGGACAAATTCAAAATCAATCTATAAAATAGAGATTAAGGAACCAGATGTTACGAAGCTTTGATTTGATTACTTTCTTTCTTTTTTTCCTTGTTTTATAACTGCCATTGACATCCAAGTTTACTTTGCAAATATACAACCTGTTGCTATCAATTTTTAATCATTGCATAGCACAGTCATGATATCGATAGCTTGATTATCAACAGTTGAAAATAATTTTCCTTTAAATCAGTTGCATAACGTTACCAGTAACTGCTTAAAGTGGGCAAATTGCTGTTATAAACTATCAACGACGAAGCAGAAGGATAGTAATTAACTTGCAGTGATGTCAGTAAGATGATAAATTGTTACCTTTTGTCATCGAAGCGGAGTATACACATGATAGACCGAAGCCATTTCCTTGTTTTAGTATAGGTTTTGTGATGGACTCGGTTACTATGGCACCCAAGCTTACCGATGCTATTATCATGCAAATTATTTTAGAGCTGAAATAAGCTAATAATTAGTCAATTTCTCCTGACCATAAAAAGGACTACCCGCGAATAATTAATTAGGATATAAAGAATGTAATCAATGTGCAGTAACAATGACTGTACCACATTATTTAAGTCTGATAGAATAAACATGAATGAATAATAATGGTAAGAAAATCTTGATGAGGTTAGGTATAAGTAGCTGCAGAAAGATTCACTGGTGATGATGGACTGATGCAAATACTGTATATACTATACAGTCCTTTAATTAAGAAATCGGCTTATTCCTATAGGGTATGCGTAAATTTTCTTCCTGACAGTATTTACTATGTGTACGAGTATATGGGTCTTTGTGGGCCTATTTCCGTTCTGATCTTTTCTATTAGTCTACTCGTATTGGCTATCCTTATCCACATTTTTGGGGGTCTTGTTCGGTTCATCCGTGTTAAGACTTTATAATTTATGTAGGTATTTCTATCTCCGGTAAAGTTTTGAAATTCAGTAAATGTAAGGCCAGCCTAGTAACATAAGAACTTGAGAACAAATCGTTATTATTATTTCGGAGCAGGAATAAAACTCTGTGATTTATTAAAATTTCAATATACAATAATGTCTTAAAATTCAGTAAGAGTGATATTGGGCAATTAGGCAATGCGAGAACTTGCATACAAATCGTCATTATTTCCTGACTAGATCTTCCACCTTTCAGTAATCCATGATTTCAGATGGCTAATTTCATATAAGAGTAATATTCTTATAATCTTTAAATTTAAGTTATCTTTATCATGATATTATATTTATTTCTACAAAACTTGCTATCTATTGCATATATACAGATTCATATCTAAATTCTCTTCTAGTAGTCCATAGTTTACGGTTAGTTATTCTTTTAGAGTTAAATTTTGCCTTAAAATGATATTCGCACCATATTTACCGTCTGTAAATTAGTACTCATTGGCCAAATGTGCCCGCTAGATTCTACGAGTTATAACAATAAATCTCTTGAATCATTGAAATTAATTCTTGAATATTATAAGTACCTGTACGCAAATTACAATTATTATTGATTTTCCTTCAAAACCTCTGGTAGTCCAAGACTTAGGACAGTTCTGTACGATAGTAAAGTCCTAGAAACTTTAAAATCAATATCTTTTTGATGCTTACAAAATCAGAGCTATTAGCTGTCTTTGTAATCAATGAAAATCATATTAAATCATCGTCTATATAACTTTTAATGGTTGTTTTCACACAAAAATTTGATTAGCTAGGTAAAAAATGAATATCAGTAGTCAATCGTGAAGACTTATACGCTATTTGTATATAGTTCATATACATATGTTATTGCCAAGGCTGTTAACATTGTGGGAATAGTATATTGACTAATAATCTTATAATAAAGCTCTTGAAACCTCGAAATTTTTACCTACCTGGTATATGTCCTCTAAATTTACGCCATTATCCATCTTTATAATCAACAAGAATCATATTAAATTATCGTCTATGGTGCTATTAATAATTATTTTTACACATGGATTCAATTAGCAATGCAAAAAAGAATATTAATCATCAATTATGAATTTTTAACATTTCACATAAAATACTATTCAGTAAATCTGAGCCGTTGTCCATCTTCATTATCAAGGAATATCATAGTAAATCATCGTCTATAACATTATGAACGATTACCTTTTACATAAAAATTTCGACTAGCGATGCAAAAATGAAATATTAATTAGTCATTGATTGTAAGGTTTATACAGTAAAATGACAATGTCTGTCAATTTTCGAGATTATAATACAGCATGAAAGTGTCATTAATACTCTTGGCTAAATCCGTCATCTTATTTTTGGGTAATTTAGCTTATAATACGCAGATACTGTAAGCAACGTAAAGATTTTAGTAGAAAAGGGATACTTTATCATAGAGTATAGTTGTGTACATGTGGTAGTTACTATAGTGCAGCGTGCAGTCTATCGTGTAGTAGCGTGGAAAGTACTAACGCTGTGATTATTGCAACTAACGAAATCTGAGATAGAAATCGGTGATATTTTATACTTTTAAAGATGGTATACATACAGAGAACAAGATTGTAGGATTAGAGATACAAGATATACCATAATAGACTATGTAATAGCAAATGATTGTAGTAAATAGTGAAGACTTTAAGTGCTAAACACGATAAGCTATATTTGGCTATAATGGAATAAGATTTTAAACATCTCTTTATTTAAGAACGATATTAAATGCTTATAGGCAAGAAAGTATACTATATGTTAGAGTTGCAGTAAAATCTAAATACACTACAGTAAACAAGTAACAAGTACTCCATTTTATACCAGTAGTAATACCACAAATCTCTTGTCATTGAATAAACAAATACCGATAAGTTATATTTAGCTATAGTGGAATAGGATTGTAAATATCTATATTTAAGAATATGTTAGAGTTACAGTACAATCTAAATCAACTACAGTAAAAACAATAACAGGTATTCCATGTTATACTAGTAGTAATGCTATAAACCTCTTGAAGCAAATACCGATTAAAATACAGGGAGTATATTGAATTACGTTCGCTTGTACTGCGTGTATAAACTGTCGAGCCTAGATTGCAAGTATTGATACTATTAGCTATCTAACAGCATATAAATCATTCGCTCTAGAAGATGATATAACTTTCCATGTATATATCAACCATCCTATGTTAGTGAGTAGATAAAACTTGAATTAATTATTTAAAATTAGATGATGTAATGCAAAACACATGCCACGACGTCATTATTCCTATCATCCTGTAAGCAAATCTACGTATATATACTATTATTAATATCGTAGGTGGTTGCTATACTAGGATCTTAAATAATCTAAACTAGCTATAAAATAAGCTGAGATGGAGGTTCATGACTGAGATTCGACATGGCGTAAGAATGAATTTGATTTTGTATTCCGATTAGTTTTGCTACAAAGTCTCCACGTAGAATTTACTATACTCAGCGTATGGACGATATTCATGGTAGGTTAATGTGATAGGATAAAGTCTTTAATTTTGCCAAAATCACATAGCAGAGATCTCTAGGGAGTTTATATCAATAGAACGCTATTATTCAAGTTACATAATAAGCTGTAGACAATTTGTTATGTTCTACGTAGAGGAATACACACGCAAATTCAATATACAATAATGAGCGTTTACACTGTATTTTCTTGTCCTTTAGCATTTAGAAATGGCTGTCCTAAAAGAATTGTATTAGTGTATTGTTTAAAAATTAGACATCACAGGCAGCATACAAAGAAGGCCATAACAGCCGTTAAAAACTGGTACTAATTGAACTAATACTATGTTCATTTTTACAGTAGTGTATTTAACTGGATGGATAGAATGGTCCAAGTTTGTTGATGTAATCTATCCATTTATTTTAATTAACTAGGTTAAAGCTGAAAGAACTTACGAAAGTGTTTAGTCGCTAATTCAAGACAACAAGATAATTCGAACTGCTGTTTACTTCAGCAATGTAACATTGGGCTAATTGACTATAGGGAACCATGATACAAAGCTAATATGACCGATATAAGTCCGTTAATGATTACATTTCAATGGCTGATAGGTTTTGCAAAGATGATGATTCTCCTCTTGATGCTGACATTATACGATCAAGATATTGATCTTTATCGTAGTATAGCTGCAACTTTGCCTCACAATGGCCTCGGTATTATCACGGTTGGTATTTCGTTTTCTTTTTTCTCGTTCTTTCTTTTAATCCATCGAAATAAACGAATAATAATTGTGAATTCAATGCTAACTAACATTTGGAAATCCATTTTACTGACGATAAATATTAGTTAATACGCTGAAATAATTGCTATTACTCGTATGTGCTTTTAGATGATCATCTCGACTGCGACAGCCGTAATTTATTACCGTGGTCGTCGACTAAGTATGGTAAGTGAAGGTGTTGCGCCTTGAATAACATTAAACTGTTGTTGTAGTATGTCATTATTTTGTTATTACTTTCTGATTAATTTGAATTAAAGATCGAGTGTAATTTCAAATGGATTCTGTCCATATTGCCCTACTTAACATGCTGATCAGTTACGTTTGGCGATTTTACTATCCAACATGGCCGAATCACAACGTATCGTTCTAGCTAGTAATTTGCGTAGTAATCTATTTGGCAATAAGGTAGTCAGAGATATTTGTAATATTTTCTTTTAAACAAATCTAACCTACAATCCTCTTGCTTACACCGATAGCGATGTTTTAATTTATTACTTGATAACAAGTGTAGATATCTAATTGCTGATTTACCACTTCAACTATTACATATGGTTAGCAGTTAGCTCGAATAATGTCCATAATGGGCATTAAACGATGTCCTCAAGAGCCAAGCAGGATAGAAAAAACGTTAACCATTTGATCCAGGCCACTATTTTCATTTATGTACTACAGAAAACAGAGTCGAATCCATCACCTAATTATTAAGAATACAATATTTACTGTACTAGCTTTTATTCATTTTGAACATATTAGTAAAAAGTAGAAAAGGAAATAATTTCACGAGAAGTGGAATTAATTTTACTAACCTTGATGATAATCGTATAAAAGCAAAAGGTCTAGAATAAATATTGACAAGCTTATAGTGTTACTGTGCCAATCTCCTCTGTAAAACATCGTCTAGAATATCGCTTCGATGGTAAAGCCTATTACCAGCGCATCATAGTTCTTCAAGATGTAGAATATAAGTCTTGATAAAATTAATTACATTAACAAGACTTGTGATAGGCGATTTCGGATGGCATAAACTTTTAAAATGTAGCATAGAAGGTCTTTAAAACCTCAGGTTTTTAGCCTACTTGGTCTCGCCAAACGACTACTCGAATGAATGCACTGTCGTAGTTAATACGCTTAATAGATTACTCTCTTTCCATCTACACTAATAAGAAATAGCTACGATGAGTACTTTTATCCGACGTAACATTTAGAGGAAATAACATAAAGGGCCTTCAAGATAGAAATAACTTGGAGATTTTTAGTGTACTGGATGCTGCCCAAAATGACCGTATTACTGAATAGGAATAGCTTCTGTTGATGACGTTGATTGATGTTAAGACTTCTAATATAAGCATCAGCTGACTTTCATGAGCAAATTCCCTCTACACAATTCTCAAAAAATACTTATGAAAGATGATATGGCTGATTTTAAGCTTTAAGGAGTCATATTACAGTCCTAATTGATGTCACAACTTCTAATATAAACGCCAAATTCTCAATAATATCAATTGAGATAGATAATAAGTTCATTATGACTTTGGTAAGAAGATTCCCTTTATACTAGAGCTCCAAACAATAATACTGTTCATTGTACTTAAGTTATCCACTTTAACATTAAATTAAACTTAGTGGAAGATGATATGACTGACATTGAGCTTTAAGCAAGCGATATTGCAGTATTCAAGATAAGAGTAAGCTCATAGCTTTACTCTTGCAGTTGTTATCTGCCCGACTACCTTATGCTTCAATAAAGGCAATAGTAAATATCATTAACATTAATACTCAAGATATTAAAACAAAATCTTTTGTAGTGTCAATATTTTCATGCTTTCTACTTTTACCAACTGTTGGTTATAGGATTAGACCAATTAAGATTGTATTGCTCAAACAGAGTTAAAATAATAAACTGTGTTAACCCCTTAAAGTCCATGAAAATAAATGATGCCTTTTAGACCATAGGTAGACCTTAAACTACCATACTCTGAATCATTCCTGTTGTAATTGCATATTGGCATATCAATTTCGCTGCTTAACAGCAATCAATTGGACGTAGGAATGGAAACATTTAATGGTAATATCATTCTGATCTTCTATTTTTCAATATTATTTATTTTGTAGTTGTTATTCAGCTTTTCATTCTCCTTGATGACTATTATTTCTACCGCTATGGCAATGTCTACCTCAATGGCTTCGTCAACAGCTTTTTATGAAATGCCACTGGCCCAGAGTCTAACATTTAATCAAAAAGTAGCTATTAGTTACATGGCTATCATCGATGTTATTATCATCTCTTCCAACATCTACAGCAGCTACCAATACTGGATGGAATTACAAAATTCTGTGGGACAAGAAGAAGTCACCAATACTTGCTTAATAACTAGAAAGATTAGCAGGCAATGTTTAATAGCAGGATGTATCGGTTTGATACATTATTATTTAAATTTAATTTTTGGCAGGCAGCTATCCAATACCTATCTTGGTACCAATGTAAGAATCATCTGTTACGATCATTACTGTAGTTTCCAATTTCTTATTATATTAATTAATATCATTCTGGGAAAGTGAATATGATTGCTCCAATAATGTTATCATATCACAGTCTAACCGTAATAAATTGGATCATTTATAGATGTTAGTTTTAGGTAATATCGGGATAATCTGCCAGCGCAGCTGTAATTTATCGTTTACGGTAAGATCACACTTGATTTGATTACAGCATGATTATTCTATCTTTCAATCATCTAGTAGAATATCCTTCATATCGATCCACTAAGTTGATAAAACGGATTCAATTTTGTAGGCGGTAGCCGTTGAATTTTTCGCCTATATTATCGCCATTAGTGGATTAATTAACAGTATTTTTATCTTCTACACCGCTGTTATTACTCCAACTTGGACATTCTACTCTTTTAGCCTCCTGATCCTCGATTCTGCTATAACAAGTTTCAGCATTTTTTGTATTAATTCTATCTGCGATCGTATTCCTACTTTAGTAAACTTGATCAGTTGGAGGAATATAACTAAGATCTTTCTCGAAAATACCGTTTTATCCAAAGTGAGCTATTTTAGTGGATTAGGTCAACTTTGCTGTGGCTGTATAATCATTGTACAGTGGTTTATCCCTAGTGTATCGACTGCACCTGTGTTATTGCAACTTACAGTTCCAACAGCAATCATGGTGAGATTGAAAATAGTAGTTGAATCACAGTATAATTAACAAAAATTTGACTTTCTACAAGAAATTGATAATTTCATTTCTACTCCAAAATTGATATTCGATTCACGAGCTACGCACTCTGGATACTTTATACATAACATTAATATAGATGTAAAAGCTTGCTTATATCTCTATTTAATAGATAGAGCAAATATAATCGTATACGTTGTAATCTTAATTTTTTTACCTCTTAGGCTATCGTTTCCTTTATATTTGGTTGTCAACAAGCTAGAAATTCATCTGAAAAATTAGTAAGTTTTTCTCTTACTACCTGAAAATAATTGTAAATCTAACTGATTACTGTATTTATATTTTCAGATAATAAATTATTTAATTGCTACCTCAGTAGGATTGGTTAGCAATCTAGTATCACTAGGCTGGTTAATTTATACTCTCAAAGCTAAAACAGAACAATTTAAGTTAACTTGCTGTATTCTCTTGATTTTGCTTACTTTTAATCAGTTTATATCTGTTACTATTATTATGATCAAGTCTAATATTCTTCAAACACCTCCAATAGAGATTGAAGCAATTCGAAAACGTAGAGGCTAAATTCTGTTGCAATATCACAATCTATCAAATAGGCAGATTTTAAAGTATATGCTACAGTAATTTATTTTTGATGGCATCTACGTGTTTTTAAAACAACGTTCAATTTTCCACTAATTCTATATCGTTATTAGAGTCTGTATTTTGCCTATGTTATTTATATTTCCTACCATACAACAACTACTAATTGTACTTATTTGCAATTCTGACTCAATACGATCCTGTAAAAATTAATATCCAGTTGCTGAATTTTTAGCATCGTAAGGAAATTCTGTTTTATAATATTCAAAGAGAACTATTTTTGAATAACTGTTATCAGACACTTCTGAATGATATCCAAATTTTGATCGTACTACAGCTTGTATATCATTTCCTTTTTGAAAGCGTCTCAAATAGATTCTGTTTATGCAGTACTACTATAAGCGATAAGCGATTAATTAATGGTGTTGAGTTTGTCAAATAAAGCGCAATCATCATTATACGCTTACGTCAGATGGAATAACGTTATTAGTTGTAATCTTCCTGGTAAGGATCAGCTACTCACATTATTGTACAGAACAGAGTGGAGATGTTATAATTATTTCTTGAAATCGAATTCTCCCTGTAATCCTTATAACAGAAATACTCATGATTCAATACCTATGCAAAGCGATTTAGATACTGAATAACATATATAATCTTACTGCAATTGTAGAAATCTATTTCCAATATAGGATCACTGCGAATAGCTAGTAATTATGTTCTACTGAGCATTATGAATGTTGGCTAGTAATGATGTTTTACTACCTTGATGACTATGCCTACTATACTATGATACATTTATATTACACATAAGTTATACTGTATTTCTATCTATTTTGAGGCAAATAACATACAAAAATTTTTAAACGTAGTTCTGTTGGAAGTCTTTTCAAATCTCTTCCAAAATATATGACTTCCGTAACTCTAAACCTAAATATGCTCAGGTACGGTAATCAATTAATACGTTTGTTTTGACCTTGATGTACTTTAGAACCTATCGAAGCATACATTCTACCTGCTTTTATCACTATAAGCAATAAAGCAAAAGTAACAAGTATTTTATTCATGATCATTAGTATACAGCTAATTAATTCTGACTTTATTGATGGCAGCAATGGACTAATAATATACAAATCTTATTTGAACTTGATTTATGTCGGAAGTCTTTCAAGTATCTTGTTAATATCATAAAAAATCCACAACCCTCATCCGAAATTTAATTAGATGCGTTAACTAGCGAGTGCATCGATCACCACCTTAGTATACTCTAGAACTTATTGTAGCACGGATTTGTAATTTTTACTGTGACTAATGAAATGCCAGTAGCTGATACTAAAATAACTATAAATAGGTAAATTCAGTTTCCTTTGAAAATCAATAATTCGAGGCATACTTAAACGACCAAATTTAAATAGTCTATGTGAAGTTACTGGTAGTACATTTTAGATTGAGGTGAACTTTATAAACCCATTACTTATAAATAATTTTTTCTAGTTCTCGTTTTTACATAATTAATAGTTTAAAGTAAATTGTGCGGGCTTGTCATTAATATATACTTTATTCTGCTATTAGTCATAGCTTTCCATATATTGACATATTTGAAATTATGAATTTGAATAATTACATTACACAACTATGAGAGCATTTTAAACGAATACAGATTATAAATACAATCGTAAGTCAAATAGCTCATGATATGCATTTGTATCAGGTTGCGATTATTATTTTAACAGCCAACTTTGTATCTAATCTATTAATATTCAATTCTTATTCCCAAGTTATAAATACTCCTACGATATCTCATTTTGGCGCCTCGGCACAATATTAGGTGTAACATTCCGAATAGCAACGGCGTCACATGAATGTAACATCATTAATGGACAAACGAAGAAATTATTCGATGTAATGAGAAAGTATCAGCGCTGAGATGTTAGCTATTAATTTAATGAATAATTTAATTCTATCTATTGTGGCAAGTATAGCTGTTAGAACTACAATATATAAATTATATCAACAGGATTGGTAAACTATAGAATACAAAACTCCCTTGTTCTATTTCCTAGAAAGGTTATGATATCGTTTACACTATTCCATTTCATTTAACCATTTTTAATAATATATATATTCCTTCATTTACTTTTTAGAACATTTATTCATGCGGCTAAATTTATTATTCTATATCGTTCTTGCTTTCTGATTGATTTAAACAAAGCTCCTATTTAATCTAGGTTTAATTATTTATTGAAATAAGCTTTTTTAGACAAATTGATTTCTGTTATCGATATATCCTACGTCTCATTAATAGATACCACTATGGATGTCTAAATTCTTTCATATCAGCAATCCATTCAACCAAGATTTAATTAATCAACTATAAAATGGACCTAGCTTCATCTAATGTGTTGTTTCAACACGAAAGGTGAATAAAATCATTTATTGCTCCTCACTCTAAATAGAAATCGCAAAATTCTTAAGGCTCACTTGTTATCGTAATTGGTAATTGTTTTTATCCCTTGATAGAAGTATTATAAGATTAACTGATTCCTAGTCTCAACATTGACAGCCTTTACTAAACTTGGCGCAATATAGAGCAACAATTGCCGATCGATCTGATCTAACATGTACAGTAGTAAATTGTAATTATTCTCTTTAAAACAAATAGGATGCGTTGATCTATTTATAATTAATTAATATAATTGCAGATTTAATATAACTTTCTTCGGCTAGTCGGACCCTCTTGCTTTCCAACACAACAAGATAAACTTGGCGCGATATGGGGTAACGATTGCTAATTGATATCCATACAATTTGCTCATACAAATGACGATAGGATGCCTTAACTAAGTATATTTATTTTGATATTCTGTCACCGTGCCGCCGATTAAAGAGATTTCTTCTCTTGGCTCTACTAATGTAATGTTTGCTTAGGATAGTTTACAAAATAAAGATAACGATTGGTCTATGCTATTTTAATATTAATATTGTTTTACATTTTTAAACTTAACCAAACAATTACTTTATGGGGCCGAATAGTATGATAGATGTATTAATTTTATATAATTTTTTCACTATTTTAATATTGATAATGCTCCATAATTTTGAACGTAACCAAATAATTGCTCAAGAATTATGGGACTGAGCACTATGATAGTCATATTAATTTTATATAATTTATTTTTAACTACTTTAATGTTAATATCACTTCACATTTTTAAACCTAATCAAACAATTACTTAAGAATTATGGGACCGAATGATTTGATAGGTACATTAATTTTATATAATTTATTTTTACTATTTTAATATTAATATAGTTCCTCATTTAAACTTAATCAAACAATTACTTAAGAGTTATGCGAGCGAACAGTACGATACACATTAATTTTACCAATTTATGCCACGAAGTAATTTATTATAGATCTGGTACGATGATGAAAACTATTGTACAACATTATTGTGCAAAAATTTAATGCCTTGTTTTGCGGATACTAGAGTAAATTCGCTTCCGTTTTAAGATTCTGTTTATGCCATAATAAAGCTGTCATCCTCTAAGATATTTTCAGTATTTTATAGCTATATTCATGTTGTGTTAAGACTCATGGACTATTATGTTTGGATAGATTCTCTTCTATATTTTAGCATAATGGCTATTATTGTTATAATTAACAATAACCTCCAATTTTTAGCAGATGGGCTTTCTCATGACTTAGATATTATTAAATACATTGGACTAGCAATAAATAAAATTGGCCGATTAGGTTTAAGTCCTAGTCCATAATATCCATTTTGACATGACTTTGGTGCGTAAATGATTTACATATTACATAATATACTTCTTGATACATAGCCCTGATGAAGTCGCAGAAAGATCAACAACCTGTTGAGTGATTTATTCAGAAACAGGCAGATAGATTTTCCATGTAGCATTTTTCTGTTGCATTAATTCAGAGGGCAATTACAACCCGAATCTCAATTATAGACCATTACTAAATAATAACTTGATAGCAATGATTTAGTATGTTTCTATATTTAATTTATTAATTAGGCTGATGTTAATCTATGGCTCTGCTACTGCAGATCAACGTACAGATATAACAAGTTTTCGTTTTGTATATGTCATATAAATATTTCCATCGTATGTCACCGCCAACCTCATTTAGTCCGGGAGAGTTTTACTTCCTGACTTGAAATTAAGTCTTTTTCGTGAGCGTTTTGAGGCAAAATAGGAATTAAAAAATAAGCGTAAATGCCTAACTCGCATAGTTCATATTAACAGCAGTCTTTTTCAAACACTATTCCACAATACAAGGAATTAATAGCTATCCTGCAGTCAGTAGAAGCATTAAGCATAGCAACAAATCCTTCAGGTTTGTGTAGTATGATTCCAGAAATCTATGTCTATCTTGCAACCATAAACTTTATCATTTCTATTCGAAAGTATATCAGTCTTGCCCTAACTTACACGACACTGTACCATGATGCAAGAAATGAATAACTATCCTATAATCAATATAAGCATTTTGCATAGCGACAAATCCTTCGGATTTATGTAGTATGATTCAAGAAATTATTGTCTATCTTGTAGTCATGAACTTTATCATTTCTATTAGTGTATCAAAAGTATATCAGCCTTACCCAATCTTAGAGAAAAGAAACTATATACGAGGTTCTATGGAGTACAATGCGGAATAGAAACTGGTTAAGTCTTTTCAATCTTTATGCTCATTTAAACACAAATCAAGTAGGCTAAAAGAGAATGAAATGAATTCTTGTTGCTTTTTGTTTATTAATTCGCTACGAATTTTTCAAATTCTATATTAGAATACAATAATTTACATCATATAAAAATTTTAGCCTATAAGCGTTACACGCTCATAAATGGTACATATTAAAAAGCATTTTTAGCCAATAGTAATGATATTTTACAATAAAAAGGTACATCTTTCTTCAATTCATCTTTATAAATTATCCTAATTATACAGGCAATCTATCAATCATTTAAGTAAAATAACAGTTGAATAAATAGCTTAAGTCGATAATATCCCGTTAAAAGAGTGATTTGTCCTATTTTTTTGCCTTCATTCTTGCCCCATATAGTCATCATTAACAACATTATAGCAATACTAAAGATTATTTTTCATTTCATAAAAATAGCGATCACGTTGTTGTTAAAGTCTCTGGATAACAATGAATACGGTTGGCATATTAAAGTAATTAGAGTTATTTTGTAAGTTATTATGTTGACGCGATAAAAAACAAGAGATTCAGCGATTGAAACAATCTGGAACATCTTAGATAAAATAACATTTCATTATAACTATTGATGTAGACGTTATGATTGAATTCTACTATTATAGAATAGTTATAGTTCAATGCAGATTGTCAAATTGTAAAACATGACATTGAATAGGATGATGATTCACTATTTGTTTGTCAGGCTAGAAGGAAAAGAGAATTGTTTTAAATTGAAAAGCTTATGACCAGTCATCAGGACTAAATGAGGAAATAATGAAGTATTGGACCACTAAACACCTCACAGTTGATTCAAATATACAGTAAATATTAAAAGGTTATGGCATGATTATCGGGGGTCAATGAGTTTGCAAAATTAATAAAGCTATCTTAAATCTTTCCTTTTCTATCTTAATATCTCATATCAAGAATAAAAAGTAATTTCATATCATTCTAACAGCGATAATTAGTTAATTGGCTCTGAAATAGAATAGGTAATTGGCCTTCTTGTTCTTTTTCATGACAATCATTTAGCCAATTCATGATACGTGTAGTCATTTGGTCACACTGTTGGTGACTATCATTGGATTTCTTTTTGCGACGTTTTAATTTACCTTTAGATGATGATGATGGAAGATTTGTGATTTCGTTAATACCGGAATCGTAACCCATTTCGAGCTTTTGCTTTTGGCCTTCATTAGTGGTTGTCGTAGTAATAGCTTGACTTGATTTAGGAATTAATTTAAGATTTTTCTTGGTTAAACATTGATAAACTGAGCTTGAATCACTGATTGAATCATTATCATTATGGCTATCATATTCATCTTCAGCATCATACGAACATACACTATGATTATCATTATAATATTGGGCTTGTTGTACTAAATGCAACTGATTTAAACCAGGCAAAGCAGATTGTGTAGATTTTTCATTTGCATGGCTTCTAATACTAGGGCGTCGATTGGGCGATTCGTTATAATTTTGTTTAACCAAGACAGAATTTCCAACACTACTTTTCCTTCGATTTGCTTGTGGAATCGATGGGCACTGAAGTTGATCGTTCTTATTACTGAGTCTTCTTGTTGCAAAACGTTGACGAATAATTTCACGCTGTGGATCAGTAGCAGGCGTATCTTTAGCGGTAAAGGTATAACGTCTTCGGACGAAATTATTACCAGATGAGTCTATTTTTTTACTTTCTTGATCTGCTGTTACTGTAGATGGCTCTAGCAATTTTGGTAGTGAATGATTGGAGCGGCTTCGACTCTGTAGCATTCTCAATTTAGGCTCAAGACGCATGATGGCAGTAGTATGGAGATTAGTCCGCTTTAAACCAACGATCAATATAAACTAATAAACAATCATAAGCTAACTTGGATCAAATTTTTCAACTTGACCATACAACAGCAGCTATAATCCTACAGAATAAAACGATTTATATCCAATAAATGATCTCACTAACAGATAGATAAATAGTTTACAGGTTGTAAAGCGAGGAAATAAGTAGCCAATAATAATAATTAAATCGACTAAGAAAGGATGTCGAGAAAAACGGTTTAAAGGGTACCGGCAAGCAAAAACGTGCAACATAAAACTACCAACACAATATGACAGGATAGAGTTTTAACAGAAATGGCAACCGACACTAAGTCTATATAGCCCAAGAGGGTGTTATTGTCTTGGATAAGTGATGAACTGGTTGTATTCACGTGTTGACAAATTGATTAGAATTAAATTGATGTCATCCAGCCCATTTTGATTATTAGTACCCCCCATTTAGTCGCCATCTATTCTATTGTTGATCTTGATAAGTCTCTTATTTAAAATTGGACGTTAGTAGTATTCTGCCATGGACTGTATCTAAGAAAAAAACTATAGACAAATAAAACGATAATAGGCTTAGTTATCATCCACGTAATTTCAAGAATTCGCAATTGAATTGATAAGAATACTATCAACGTATATTAATCGTCATAGCGCTCCCTATTGAGTAAATTGTTGACTTTATATTATTCCTTTTGTATTGATTTAATTAATCTTATTGAATTGATACAATAAGTGTAAGCCTAATGTTAGTTACACTGTAGCTAAGGGAATTATTCAACGCCTATTTCCTTGTCTTTCTTAACTCGTTCAACTATTCAATAAATTTCATGTTTCTTATCGGATTGATAATTGCTTTAATATCTTTTCTATTGTATCCAACATTCTATTAAGCTATTTGCTATGAATGTTAATTTTTGCTATATAGTAGTTGATTTCTTTCAGTTATAATGCCGATACAATTCTATCCAAATTTTATATTATTCGTACCGTTCCAATGTTATTATGAAATGTAAATGCCATGCTAAAGCTGACTAATCCTCTATTCAGTCATTACAAAAACTACAAAATTTCGGATACTATTTGTGTATATGTTATATATATATATAATGATCTGCAATTAATCACGTTATAGGCGTACAGTAATTGTAATAATATCAAACGGATGTTAGAGATATGATTGCAGAAAGCTAGTAACAAATTAGACTAAATTATGGAACAATTAAATAAATGCTATACAGTAGATAAATAGCGCAAACGTAATGATGCCGTCGATAAATTTCATAAAGCTTACTTTATTACAAACATAATTGTATTTAGATAATGCTGATACACATAAAGCTGTTGAAGCCAAGTAGTATTATAGGTTAAGTTATACAAAAACGAATGATGGTATGCCCTAACATTACATGAATATAAATAGAAATATAGATAAAATTATTTATAATGAAGTATTAATAATGCATAATCGTATCAAATTAATGATGAATTAGATAAAAATTCACAACCCTAATTATTGTTGTCGGAAATTGCATAAAATTTTACGACGATGAGGACTTAATTGCTAGGAATTAAATAGTTATTGATATAACTATATAAAATCAATAGCGATGTAAATATTGTCCAAGGAATCAAACTATATTATAGATAGATAGTAAAAATCAATAAAACTAATGATGGATTTTATAACGTTCATAATGTTATTAGTAACTAGTATGCATTTCCAGCTGATTTATAAAAGTAGAGGTTCCAGTTTTTTGCATTCCTTTCTCTGTCATTTCGAAGCAATCTAAATGTAGCATTGTGTATGATGTATCGCTATCAGCAATATTGTAATCTGCATAAATTTTACCTATAATTAAGCTAATTAACATTGAAATTACTTGATAGCAGCCATTTCCTCTCCGGCAATAGATTACATATTTTCGGCATATCATGCATGACCATCTGTGGTATATATTGACTATCAATTAAGTTATTAACATGATTTTGTTTTGCTGCAATTATCTTACTTAACATCTTTAACACATTTAAGTAGATAACAGATGCTACTTTTAATAATGATACGTAGCGAAAATTTTAATTAGCAGAGTAGCATCGTACTTCTGTAAATACGAATCCAGTATTCGTCACTTTGTTATTACTAGAGCTATTTTGCAGCCTTGTTCACTTAATTAAAGTCTTCCTAATATGATTAATGTTATCTTAACTAGCATATGATACAAACTTTATTTCCATGTAATTGAGAATAAGAAATAAGTTGTGAATATATAATCAAAGAATATGTATATTTACTAGTCTATGAGCTATCATAATAGTTTTCTCTAAAACTTATGTAGATTCATCACTTATACAGCTAGAGAAGTAAATTTCATTTTACTTTATTGAGAGATTATTTTATAACTTGGTAGATAATCTATTCATCAATTATAGTCAATCATCAATATTACAGTCGTAATATTATCAAATAAACAAGTCTTGATTATGCAGGCTGCCGGGTGATGTTTATATAACCTAGTATTCATGTATTTATTCCATTAAGTAGGTTAGAAAAAATTCTCGTCCTTCAGTTCAATCAAATGACTTGAGTATAAGTATGTGCTAGTTTTAGTTATATATTGAATGTGTTTACTAATTATATCTTTTCTCTAATGCTTTGTTGTAGTAACAACCAAATAAATCCTCCTCCTAGATATATCATTTGATTACTTAATTGACAACCAGTCCATCAAATACGGGCATAATTATAATGGGCTACATGATATATTGCTTATTTATTTATCATCCTAGAAGTAGTAAATGTATCAGATTTATGTAAAATTAAAAAGTTCTGTATTTAATATATCAGGAATGAAAGTTGAATTTTAATCATTCCATTTCTAAATCAATATAAAAAATAGTATTTCTTGACCGAAAATAAATATTTTGCTAACATAATGAAATGGTCAAATTTAACTTTACGCAAGCTAAAATAAAGATTATATGAGACATCTTGTTCTACCTGTAAATAAAGATTTTTCTATAACGTAAATATACTATATTCTTTACTTCAAATTAGGTAATACTGTAACTAGCATAACTGCTAGATGATTGTTTTCGGAGATTTCCATAAATAATAGGTAAATCGTTATCTCCGACATTTTAATTATCAAAATTTGAAATACTTTTATTTAATTATTGTACCTGTACCGTATAACTCTATAATCATATCAAATTAATGTTCTATTGAACCTCTGTTCTTTTCTTTTATATGCTAGAATTTATTATTTCATACGTAATGTGTCCGTAATATTGTTTACTACAGTAGCTTTAATATGCGTTTTACTATCTTATAACATGCGAACTAGAACATTCTCTAATTATAATTTAAGATAGATGTCCTTGCTAATGCATGGAATAGGTATTACTCAGTTAAAATCCTACTCCATATAATTGAGGATTATCCTTAATGTACCATACGAGTATTAAGATAGATTTATCTAATTCTTATGAGCTCTATAATGCAGTAGTAAACCTCAAAAGTTCAGATAAAATTGAGCCTGCATTACTCAATGGTAATCTTAGACCCATATATGTAAGTTTGATCATCAGTTTCTATGTCGGTTGCACAAAATTTTGTTCTAATTATCTCCAATGTTTACATTCCATTAAAGTGTTGCAGGCAAATAATAAAGTTCTAAGAAAGATAGTTGCTAAAGATAGGATGTAATAAACACTAAACTGAAAAACAAAATTATTTACGGTCTCACCCTATAAACTCAGATTACTTTCTAGATTGCAAACTCAAGCATAAACAATTACTATACCAGCTATAGACTACGCGTATTTTATGACCAGTGCCCATTTGGACTATAATATAAACGATTGTCTTCGTCTAAATAGCAGCATCAAGTGCATATGATCATCGATTCTGCCAGCGCCTATCATTGTGTTAGTAGGTTAATTAATACTTGGCAAAGGTCATAGTTTTATTGACGTATTTCTATATTGATAAATAATATACGAGTAAAAGACTGAAAAGGATTAGTAATAACAACAAAGCATATGGCTACTAGTACCTATGGATAGGTTTTACGTTTTTTATTATTAGACAGTTGGTATGAAAAAGATTTAAATTATTGTTTGATCAAAATGGGACAAAACACCCGTATAAACAACTACTGAAGTTTATAGTATAAATAGAACGCCTGTGACGTCTTATTTATTTCAATATCAATCATGCTATATTATTTACCGTTATGACTGGCAACTGCTATTGTTACTATGCTAATAAGAGATCTTTAAATAGACTTCTTTTTAACTATCAGCAAAGTTTATGTCACAAGCTAGCAATAAAGGCACCATTGAGTGAATTTTAAGGGTAGAAATGAATAGACTCTATTTTTAACGATGCTAGATTGTTGATTCGAAGATATAGAAATATTTAGCAGACAGTAAGCATAGATCGTGGCGACACTAACGTAAACACTCGAATTTATATAAATGTATACAAACACTGTATACAGATAAAATCGTATCTTACATATAATTATTTATTATTAATTTATGTTGAATATCATCAACAGAAGTAATAGGTGTGAATGATTTTTAGTTATAAAGTAAAATTGATAAACATAAATCGTCGTAAAAAGGATTGTGCTTATTAAAATTTATCGAAGATTTACCATATCCATTTTCAGAACATAAATGATTAGTATACGAAATTGTATATCCTTAATAATTAATTTAAAAACAATATTTGACCTAGTTTAAGACTATCGTGTTATTATTGGACGCCAGCTGCAATGTACGCGTTGATGAGAGTATTAATACAAAAAGGGATTATATTATAAACATTTTGACCTGAATGATCATAGCATATGTGTATAAGTTACTACGTCAACAATTCGAGTCTACGTATGATACTGCATATTTATGACGTTAGCTGTATGAGTAATTACAGTTTAATTTAATATTAATCGGTATAGCTCCTATTAAATATTTGCTATAATAGGTGTAAAGATAATTTATTACAAGAAAATCAATCCTAAAATAGCTATTCTAGAAACTTTTTCTTTACATGTCGGGATATTGATGCTTGTCGCTTAGTTTAGATATAATTTCAGCTCTAATTTGAGAACTGATCGTTGTTACCAGGTATTTTTAGCGTATATGAAGTATAAATGATTATATTCAGATCTCATGCTACAGAAATGATCGTTTCGTAATTTTCTCTTAATTGACGTAGTAAACTCATTGCATGTAACTAAAAACGGTGATAAAAATAGAGTATGCATATATTGTATCTTAATATGTTGTTCAAAAATTTGAAAACTTAATGCCACTGAGTGTATTGAGCATAATATATTAAAGCAAAAAAACTAAAATTTGACTACATTATATAGAATAAATTTTTTTGAAGTAAATTTACTATAAGTTTTCAACTTTAAACTAACATGAGAAGCATATTAATCTTTAAATGAGGTTAAAAATGGCTAGAATTAGCCATTAATTTTTCGTTTGTAATAAATTATATCGGCACTATAGCTGTTGGAAATACTTCTTAATGACTATGCCATTCTACAGTCTAGCCAGAAATCTTCTATAAGATTGTAGGTAATAAAGAACAATAATATAAAATTAAAGTCTAAATAAGTCAACTTTCGCTATTTATGAGCATACCTTAATCGTTATGCCCCAAAGAATCTCTTTATTATAAAGTATTATAAGCTATACGTACGTATCTAACGCCAATCAGCGTTATTTGCATATACAACGTACTACGTTACTAATGAAAATAAATACTGTTAAAGGCTCATCAAACAGTATTTCTGAAATGTGATAGATGAGTCTGTTGGTATTTGGTAAGCTCTGGGCCTGATGGCTGAGCCATTCTTACCAGAAAATATTACTCATTCCTCGTTTTTGACTACTTAACAGTAGTATAGGAGAATTTTGTATGTGAACAGCGTTATTGCAACCGCAGCACTACAAGTTAAAAGTGACGTACAAATTTTAATAGATGGTATTAATAATCGAGATAAATTCAATCAAGTCATATTTATAACATCTTAGCCCTGCAAACTTGTTTATTTGGAATACTACTGTATTAGATGCGGTACATGTACATATTTTGTATAGCCTTTGGAAGTGATGTTAGGGCTAAGATATTTCTCTTCACAGAGTTTTCCGATTCCTATTATATATTATTAATATCTCATCATGCACTTATTCATATCCGGTATACCATATCAATAGTTTTATCTTACTACTTTGATTAATGTACATAATTGTAATTTGTGTAAAATGTATTCGAATATTTTACGATACTTCACAATACACAAAAAATGGTGATGATTTGGACTGCCCAAAATATTTCCAATTACCTCGTAAATCGTCAATGTAGGACAAAAATATTTACTTACTGCATCTGAAGTGCCTTCTATCACATAACTTCAAATAGTTATCAATTATACTATCCAATAGGGATTCTAAATATTTAATTAACCCTCAAAACTAGAAGCTACTGTGGTATGATGTAAAAACACAGTCTGTAGTTACCGCTGCAATAAAATTTCATCAAGCAAATGATTTTAATACCTTAGCGCTATTAGAGAGAGAAATTTTAATTCTGTTACGTAAATATACACTAATAATATACAATAGCATGCAGTACCATTGATGAAATACAGTCCATAATGACTCAGTATATGCCGGAGGATAATACCACCAATATTTAAGTTGAATCATCTACCGACAGTAATGATATAACGGAATACATTTAGAATTAGTCAATAAATAAATACTGTCAGCAAATAAAACATTCCTAAGAAATGAGACCTTCCAGCGACTGTTTCAATAATCTTTTTTGAAAATTTTCAAGGAGCAGATAATTTAAATTCGAACTTCTATGGCAAAAGCAGAAATCGTAATTACGCTTCCGCATTACAGCATTAGATTCTATATACGAAGTATTTGAATGGCGCAATTTTCGGCAGACCACAATATTAGCAATAAAACCTCTATTACAACAAATTTTAAGGAACTTGACATGAACTGAAACTAGAACAAGGTTATCAGGAGTTCTCATAAGCCGCATTGTATATCGTTTGGCCTTCAATTGAGCCCAGAATTCAGGATTACATGATTTTATTTAATAACTCATTGATATTGTCCTCTGATCTTTTACGTTATAAAAGGTACTGTAGATTTGCAAACGCCTGCTAGCAAGAAAGTAAGCTATGTCATTTACTATGCTTGGTTCCCTTAAATTTAAAAAGTTCACTTTTTATTAACGTGACAGAATTTAGGATCAAAAGATTGCGGATACTTTGCCCTAGAATTAAAATTTGATAAAATTAATTTTAATTATTTAATATTAACTAAATTTATTTACGACCATAAGGCTGCCTGTAGTATTATTGATAACAATCTGCTATAAAAGTTCGCTCTTTACAAACTCACATTTATTAAAATTGACCTAGGCAAATCCCCATGCTTCTAGAGCTTGACAATAAAAATGCTCAGTTTTTGACATGATTTCATTATCGAAAGTTTGGCACGGATGACAACTGCCGCGATACAGATCTTCATCCATCCATAAACCAAAATGGCCACTAATTGGACAATCGAAATAATTGTTTATAAACATTAAGAAATATTTCAGCACTGCATATAGTGTAATTACTTACTCTCCTCCCCCTATAGCAAAGCCATCCGTATCGCCTTTAATAATATAATGATTATGCCCAGTCCATTGATATATCTGCGAAAAAATTCGTTAATGAAATGCTTCTAAAATGGTACAAAAATTACCGTAACAGTACCTGAAATAAATGGATAAAAAAACACATTAAAATAATGCTTACATTTCTCTCGGGTTTTATAGTAAACATAAATGATTCCCCTGTGCCATAGTAGCCATCACTTATTCGAATTTCAGAAGATACTACAGCACCAAATACCTACAATGCGAGACACGTTGTGTTTTAAAGGTTGAAAAAAATTATTTAAGAAATTTAGTTATAAGTAAAACACTTACATATTCATCCATGTCCCTTATTATTAACAAAACTGGTGTATCCCATTCAGCCATATTTCTGTACAAAGTTTTCAGGCTAATGCCATGTAAGAAAGTGCTATAAATCATGTACCAATTGTAACCGATACACCGAGAGGGCATATTTTCAGAGAGCTGTTCGGGTAGAAGCAGTCAATGAATATCATTATTAACTTATACGAGAGGTTGCTGATTTTATGGTGACTTACGAAACTAATATCATCCTCTAGGAGCAATTGTGTAGAACCTCCAATCATTTCCGGTAATGGAAGTTTTAAATCTTCTTCAATACTATCTCTAAAGATATTAGTACATAAAAAGAATAGTTAATCATAACATTTATGCACATAATTACTAAGAATTGATTGCAAGCTTCTTACATTGTACTTAAATGTCCGAAATCGAACGTTTTCGACAACATTTGCACCGACTAGTTCAAAAAAATAAACGAAATTACTTGTAAGGTTTCATTCAGCCAGTAGATTTAAAAAGTAAACACACTTATAAAATTAGCAATTGTACACTTATTACCCTCCGACGAACTGCAGTGGCTACACCGTCATCAAGAACCTCAAAGTCTTCCTCGCGGCCATATATGTTAGGAGACCAATGAATAAAGAAGGAATATAGTTGGTCGACTCTAAAAAGAGATTAGAATCATTAACAATTCATCCCGAAAAAGATGTTTTTAGTAATGATAATTGCCTGTTTGAAGGAACAGCAAACCAAAATTCTTTCCTATATGGAAGTTTGTCTCTAGCTTCATCGTGAACGAAGAAGGAACCGCGAATATTAACTGTTTCAGAACCATCTTTCTTATTTTCACTGCCGGTAACACTTCCTGGCATGGTTTGCCTGGCAAAACTAATTGTTGACTTAGCTATATCTGCTGCTGCATTTAGGGCAGCTGAAGCAAAAGACGATTCTTTTGGCTCTGTTACTGCTTTCGCTTTAGGAACATGTTCGACGTGCAGACTTAAATAAAAAGGCATATCGGGCTCATGATATTCTTGTTTGAGTGATTTAGAATCTGTAACAAATAACAATAAAGTAACTCAAGAATAATCCTGTAAAATAATTTGACTGGTTTATTTTAAAATATTCCCTAATATAGAATATTAATAACCATTTTTCGATTCATCTTCATCAAACACAGAGTCATCTTTTTCTGTTGTCTCGGGCTGACAGTCATCAGTTGGGGCATTTCGAGTTTTTCCGTTATCTGCTGATGTATGCTCTGACGATGGCTGAACCTTTGTTTCCTGCTGTGCATCATCATCATGTTTCGGCTGTTCTGTCTGTGATTCTTCTTGACCTTTGTTGTCGTCATTGCCACTATCTTGAGATTCAGCGCTAGTTTCCTCCTGTCCTAGGGTATGCTGTTGTTCTCGTTCCTTAATGGGTACGCTAACAGCAATTCCTGGACTAGGTAAACCCCGTTTAACATCAGAATCAGTTTCGCTACCGCTGTGATGACGATCAGAAACACTTTTACTTTTCTTAATTCCTGTCTCAATAGCTGATTTACTGCTTTGGGGACTAATCTGTTTGGGAACATAACTAACGCTTGCATATCCCGAAGTGTCTTTGTTTATTAACACGGAAAAAAGGCTTCCAGACTCAGAAGATGCGCTTACTTCAGAGCTGACGCTATCATGACCCTCATGACCAGCTAATTTTTGTCTAATGTCTAAATTGCTTAATGGGGGATCAGACTTATTTCCGAATATGGGGTTTGTATCTTTCGATCGATAAATAGGAGCCTCTGGGTCACTTTTAGAGCTAAAAGAATAGATCAGCGATTAGGTACTACTGCTAATATTGTTCTGATTTGCATTTAATAAAGAGGTATAGTGAGACCTAAAGCTCTAACCTTCGTTGTTTTTTTCCACTAAATTTCTTCATAATCGTAAGATCGTGATGCATTGCAGCACTAGTTACTCTACCTAGAGGTGCTACAACCTCATAACAATTGGAACCGTTTTCCATCACAAGCGGATCTGAGACGTACGGGTTGAACATTATCGATTGAGGGGTTACCAAGAGGACACCTTTTACCGTACCCTAAAAATACATGGAGTCAGTAATAAATTGCTAGTAATTACCTAAAGATATCAGGCTGCATACAGTACGTGCTAAGAGTAAAATAAACCTACATAGGAAATGTGTTTACTGATTTTATGTTTTAAGTAATGAATGCAACAACGTGATATATCGCGTAAATCCAGTAAAACTCAGACTATAGTAAGAACAGCTCCGATTGAGTCATAGCATTCATTATTACAGATTAACCGATAATTTATACTTGGCATACGCATACTATTGTGATTGAGATTTTTCTTCAAAACTTACCAATTTTTCAGTGATCCGTTTAACATTAATTTTCAAGAATATATCTGAAACCTCGTCTTCTTCTTCAGAAATAGATAAATTCGAAGAATGTGGACGAATGTCCTCGTTATCATTACCAGAAGTTTTTCTACCGCTCCGAATTACTTCTTGTATGATCTATGATAAAGAAAAGCTTTCAATTAATGACAAATATATAATATAAAAGATATGACAGGATTCCTATACTTGATATAATAATGTTATTACAAAGATAACTTGCGATAATGATTCAAATGATAGCAGTTACTGCAAGACTTTAGCTGTATGCAATACCTTATCCGATTCATTTTCCATTGAACGGCGATTTGATCGCTCTGAGCTTTCAGACGCGTGTCTAGCTAATTCGTCGTCCGTTTCGGAGTCTTTCCTCGAGGGTACAAATAAGATCTGTAATTTTCAAATTAAAATTAAAGATAAGCTTTTCAATCACACATTGAGATTTTAAGTTACATTGTGTATACAACATCTACAATACCTGTCCAGGAAATAGCATCTGAGATGTAAGCTTATTTAGCCGTTTCAGTTCTGATGGTAGTGTGTCGTGTTGAAGGGCAATACTGGCCAAAGAATCATGACTTGAAACCTAGTTTATCATAATAGAAAAGTTTTTATGCAAGTTCTAAGAGATTATTCCTTAATACATAATATAAACTTGTATTGCCTTTCAAACATATTTTTTAATTTTGGTTATTTTATTAGCATAATGACATCGTGGTATGTTCGTAAAAGTGACTAAATTAGCTAATAAAATTCATAAAATAATGACTCCAATAGACGCTAATGTAATGATAGACTATTCCAAGAGTAAAACGCGAACCAAATCATAGAAAATACCGTTACAGGCACAAGAATTTATTACGTAAGTAATACTACGGTCTTTCTGATTCAAAAACTATATATTAAGGTCTTTTGACTTTATGATGGCAATAGCTGAGTTATGTTTGATAAGGTATAATCAGCCTATCTGTGGTGATAATTATTTAAAAGAATTTTTTAATTTGAGAGATGAGCGATACAAATTTATTGCCAAATTTACCAGGTATTCTTTGGTATTAGGCGGTTGTTTTATTCTTCTATTTTTCTTCTTGTTGTCCGTGTTTGATTCTAGATCTATTCGATTACATATTATTGATCACAATAACGTCAATAAATCGGATACGGTATTATATTACTATTAAGTACAGTATCATCGAACAGTGTTATCGTGCAGTTTCCATTATCATACATTAATTAAGCGGCGGTAGTTAAGGTATACTGTATGTCTCGTATAATTACGAATATGTCGTTCTCAAATTAGGATAATCAGTTAGAAACTACGTAATAATTTGACTTGTTTTAGATATGCTATCAGGATAACTAGTGTAAACTTCCTGAATCTTAAAATATAGGGAATTATAGCAGCACTGTTATAAAATAGTATTTCCAAATACAGACAACTAGGAAGTCGTCACCTCGTTTGGCTTGGTAAAGTAAGCATAGAGATAAATACACCATAGCAGCCAGATGCCCAGCACAACGATAGAACGATGATACAATGAAAATGCAGAAGCGGAGTAGCGGCGTTGTAATCGTATGAGCATAGTAAAATTTGTACAACAGCGAATTTTAACGGTAGCGATATATACGTAGTATAGCGCAAAACATATTATAGTTAGCATAAAAAGTTGAGCTAATAAGCATGGGGTAAATATATTTACTGGCAGTGCTAGAAACTTGTGATAATACATTTCGTAAATAAATACGGTATTAATAGATGGAGGAAGTCAAGATAGTTTGAAAACTAATTGAGTTTACAATCTGTAGTGGCTCAACTACATATTATATTACGCATACTATACTACTGTATATGCTTAAGTCTTGCAAGTGTAACAATCCTATTTTTATTAACACTTTGTGATAATGTGTTAGATCATACTAACGCAAGAATTGCAAAATATGATATTATACAGAATACTAATCTACTGACTTAATATACAGTATACAGCAGCATATTTTTCGACAATTAATATTATAATTATTAATTGTTACTGTCAATCCAGCATAATAAAGTAGCCAAAATGCAAATATTTTTTAAGTACACAAATTAAATCGAATATTAGGAGCTTTTTTAACTAACTTTGGTGAGATCCATTTAATATTGTAGATCAAAATATTGCATATAAAACTATCGCAGTAAGATAGTACTAATACTTAGGCTTCAGAATATATTTTTTGGTAGTGTTTCAAATAAATCATATAATTTGCATATTTTCTTGGTATATTATGATTGATCTGTTCTATAATAATACTAGGTCGTTAAATTAGTTTTATATTGTGCAAAACAAGAATGTAAATGGATGTAGCCTGATAGTGAATATGGTTTTATGCAGTTGAGATTGATTATCCATTTTAGCGTTGTTCATTCAACTTACCCAAGGAGCGAGAACTGGTACTAGGAGCTGGCGAAGCAAGCGGTAGTTGGTCTAAGCTGGCACTAAGGGATTTACTTCCTAGATCTAAGCGTTGCTTGAGTTGGTTGGAAAATAGATCCCAGTGAAGTGGATTAACACGTTCATTACCTTCAACACGGGCTGCGAATCCTGGATGTTTACTCTGGTGTCTAAAAATTAGACAATACAGTGTAACAAAATTTAGTTATAGTATAATATTATTTTTTTTTAACCGTTCTCTTTCAACATTACCCACAATATGTCTTTTATATTATATTAAAATACTATACTGTGTATTATTTTCGAATAGCGAAATACTGTATAAGGAATGTA